GCTTCCTCTTCCACGGCTCCACTATTCCACCCGTCCACTCTTCCACTCACTATATCACTAATACACCCGCAGAGCGGCAGACATCATCGCATAGTAGTGCATAGCATTTTGTGTAACCCACTCAGGCCGCCCCATTTTGTGGCGTCGTCGTAATAATTTCGCGACTGCGACGACGTTTTTATAGTTTTCTGTTTTTGCTTCTTTCTGTTTGGGGGGCTGCCTCCTCTGCCTGCTATCATGTCTCTTTTTCCCCCTGGGGTTTTCGTGTTTTTATTGTTGTGATTCCGATTCGGATTCGTGTGCTGCCTTCTTTTTTTTTTATAGATATTTTTCCATCTCATCATCTATTCGGTAACGCGAATTGCACCACCAAAGATTCAACATTCCCTTTTGTAAAGCATAGTAAACATAATATCTGATCCCTAAGATCAAATATTATATGAAGCATTAGATAGTATTTTATTTATTTATTTATTTATTTTTTTTTTTTTTTTTTTTTTTTTGAAATATTTTTGTAAAGCATCGTAAACATAATATCAGATCCCTAAGATCAAATATTATATGAAGCATTAGATAGTATTTTTTTTTTTTTTGTGAAATATTTAGAACAATTCGATTATACAATGTTGAGAAAGAGAAAGAAAAAGAGAGCTGAGCTGGGATAAAGATTGGGTGAATAGCAACTAGTTTCCCCACCTTTACGCCGCTGTTATTGTTTACCCGCTTATATTATTTTTAATTGTTTTTCAGTTCCCGCCCACCAACCTTGCGACACGCGCGCGCTTTTCCCCCCGTTTCAGCCCCTCGCGAATTCGCGTATGTTCTGTACTTTTGCGCCAATCGAGTTATCAGAGAAAAGCTCGAGCTGATAAGCAGATAGAGATAGAGATACACGACGTGTGCGGATGGATGGTGATAAAGTTGAGGTGTTGCTGGGGATATATTCAATTCAGGTGCCAAGGTCTCCAGTCTTTTTTTTTGTCTTTCTTTTTTTTTCTCTGCCGTAATTAAATTTACAAACGTAAACGAAGCGTAACGAACCGAACCGAACTCAAGTTAACTGAGAGCTGTTCCGTTTTTTCGCCCGTCTTCTGTGTATTTTATAGTATTTCTTTGTAATTTTATATAATTTGTAATTATAGAGCATTTATTAATGTGATTTGTAGTTTTGTGGTTTTTCCTTGATTTTAAAAACCACATGTTTATTTAAATTTGCAAGTGGGGGCTTCGTACGTTTTTTTTTTTTGTTGGTATGTTTGAAAAGGAGACTGCGAAATGAAGTTGTCTTTGACACGAAACTGCCATCGCCCCCATGTGGCGTATGCCACGCCCCCTCTTCAGGGGCGGGTCGCCTCTTTCCCTCCCTTTCCCTCCGCCCCTCTGCTTCCGCATACACGGACCAAGTCAAAAGCGCGCTCAATGACCCCCAACAGCGTCCTACATTCGCGACTTGGCGCCCCTTTTCCATCCACTTTCCACCCCCGACTTTTCCACCCTCCCCCCTTCTGTTGCTCCCCTTTTTTCCCATTTTTTTTTTATTTCTCCTTTGCTTTTGTGTGCACTTGTCGTTTGACAACGTTTTCGTCTTTCTTTGCCGCTTTCGCTCTTTTTCATCGCTTTTCCTCGCTTTCCCTTCTTGTCGCTTTTCTTCCCCACCCCCTGTCAAGTGCAGCAGGGAAAATCCTTTTTTTCCCCACGCTTTTCCTCCCCTTTGAGACCGAATTTCAATTCGATTAATCAAAAATGAAATACAGGTCAGCCTTGTGCAAATCGTAGGAGGAATTAGATAAATACCAAGACTTTTGGGTTGGAACTTTGAATGCAAACTAAAAATTTAAATGGGAAAAATCGAACTTAAAGTTTTAATTATTGGAACTGCATATCTGTATATAATATGATACCATCTTAAGTCGGGTCACACAAAATATAGGCCTTACGGGGACGGGGACTGAAATACCACAAATAAAAACATTGGTTAAAGAGCCTTGAACTGGAAACCCCCCGAAAAAGGGGTTGGGGTGAGGTGAGCAAACAAAACCAAAGGTTGACCAAGTTTACTTTTCCGGGGGGAAGGCGGTGGGTGGGCAGAAAAGAGGCGAGAGATTAACGCGTAATAAGTGTGCCCCAATTTCTGCTTGAATTCAGCGAGGAAGTCGCCGCACATATTTAATGTAGAATGAATGGGGTGCGGGGTGGGGTGCTCGAGGGGTTCTCTTGGGGGGTGGTTAACGCAAAAACGGCAAAAAAAAAGAAAACAACATGAAAAACGTGCGCAAAACGAAAAGGCAGATAAGACAGCAAAGACGAAGGACAAAGAAAAAAAAACTACAAGTGACAAACTCCCAGTTATATTTATTTCTTGATGATTTCTTCTTATTGTTCGGAGAATATGACGTCACAAGATGATCCAGCAGCCATATATTCTTATTTCGGTTTATGATTAATCAGGTTTATTAATAGCTTTAAGCTGCGACCTCACGTCTCTCTGATTAATGCAGGATGCCCATATATATATAAAGGCTATATTTAAGATATTCACTCATATATTCCTTAGGGGTTTTAGCTTTGATTCATTGTTTGTATTTCATAAGCCACCGAAATCTGTATCATTTAGGGATTGCATCTTGCGAAGATGATGTAAAAGATGCATTTCTAAACCGAAATAACCGGAAAATAGCTTGCCTCTAGTAATAGCCATTAAAACTGCCTTTTTACAGTGTGTTATCTGATTTAGCAATAAAACCGAAACTCTGACGTGGTGAAAAAAGCACCTTTTACTTGGGTTGCCAACGGGGAAAACGCAGATATATTGGTGACTGTGACGGTGAAACTGTGACAAAAGGGGCCGCTATAAGGTTGTTTTGTTAAAACTATTGGCGATTGGGAAATGTACGAAATAGTACTGAAAATGTACTAAAAATACCTCATTTACCAAGTGTGACCTTATTTTTTACAGTTTTTATTGTGATTTATCCATAAGGTCGTTTAAAAAACTATTGACGATTGGGAAATATACGCTGGATAGAGTACTAAAAATGTACTAAAAAGAGCTAATATTCCAAGTGTGGCCTTATTTTTTACAGGATTTTTTCTTTATTTTTTTTGTGATCTTTCCAGTTAAGCTCACCTGATTTATACCTTATTAGCCCGCTTCTTGGCCCTCTAACTCTGTTTTGTCTCCGCTTTGTGGGCCACTTGTGCAATCGCAATCCACCGCTCCTCCTCCTCCCCCTCCCCCTCCCCTCTCTGTGTTTTGGCCTGGCCATCTTCTCCGTTGCCTTTTGGCACCTCATTTGGCCAGCCAACAACTACGACTGCTACTCTCTTGGCTGCTTTTGCTGCTCCCATTTTGTTTTGGCCGTCCATCATTTCAAGTTAACGGTTGCGCGTGCATTAAAAGCAACAACTACAACAGCAACAACAACGAAACTAACACACTTTTTGCCCCAAACCACCTTCCTCCTCCTCTTCTTCCCAACCTCTGCTGGCCCCCTTTGTTGTACGCTTTCTGGTTTTTTGGTTTCTATAAGTTGAGCGATTTTTTGTTGCTTCTTCGCTTGGGTTTCGTTTCGTTTTGTTTTTGTACAGATTCCTCCATACTTTCGCTTTTTTTTCCCCCTCCCCTTCCCCCTTGAAAGCCCCTCGAAACAATCTTGTATTTTATTTTATTTTTTTCGGGTCCCTTGGTATTGCCGCTTTTGCCATTCTTGTTGTCAGTTATATTGCTTTTGTTGCGTCGCTTTAATAGTCAACATTGACATGCTCAGCTGCGCATTTTAATGCGTTGTGCCTGCCAAACCACCACCCACCACCCCCTTTTCTATAGGTACATGTATACCACCTGTGCACGATGAATTTCCACAAATTAGGTTGTTAATCGGGGGTTTGATTAAACACCCAGTACTTGATTTGGGATTTTCTTGGATTTCTTATAGAGTTAAATATATAAAATAAAATACCCGATAAAAAAAACTTCCAATATAATAGTCGAAATGGAAAACCCATTAACTTGTTTTTCTACCTGTGTACCGTGGCATTTTCTTCTACCTTATTTTAACATTATTATTTTGTGTTTTTTCCCTCTGCCGTTGTGACTGTGTTTCTTCGTTTTTTTGCTTTTCAAATGGTTTCCATATTGGGTGGAGAAGCAACAAGAAGAAGAAGAGGAGAAGTGAGTGCCCCAAACACAGTGCTTTTATTGAAAGAGAAATTAACTGAAATTTACTTCGCTGCTGGTCACCAAGAAAAGCCAAAAGGCCCCGGTGCCACAGTTGTTGGCCCAGTTAATTAAAAGCGTACCCCCCGACTGCCCGATTTCCTGTGCTGTGCTCAAATCCTCCCGCAAAACCAACCCATCCATCCACCCATCCACCCGCCGCCCCCTGGAAAACCCCTTGGAAACAAGCATTCTGATGTCAGGGCTGGGCCAAGTTTTGGGGGGATGGGGGTGGCTATATTATCGATGGGCGTTGAAATGTTTATGGCGAGATTACACCGTTAACTGATTTGACACAGCTCTCTCGGTGTCGTGGGATAGGTGAGGTAAATCCTAAATCCAGGAAGGGATTTAGGCTTATGATGTGTTGGTTACTCTCTATAAGGACTGGATCTATTTAGACAGGGGCGATAAATATCGAAATTATCGATTGTATAGAAATACAAGTAGCTGTATAGGTATTATTAGGACAAATATGTGTATTAGAAGTAGGGAGGTAAATGCAGGAAGGGATTTAGGCTTATGAAGTGTTGGTTATACAGCCTGCTTGTTTATAATATCGATAAATATCGAACAAATCGATTGTATAGCAATACAAGTAGCTGTATATGTATTATTAGGACAAATATTGTATTTTATCGGTTTATTTGTCATCGAACTATCGGCTTAATCGACATGGTTTTTTCCAATTGAATCACATTCAACTCGCACTCCCTTCAATTATCGCTCTTTACCGACCGACCGTTGACTAACTTTCCCTTCCACTTTCTCTCTCTTTTTGCAGAACCAGCGACAGCGGCACAACCACCGAACTGGCGCGTGAGAATCTCTTCCAGCCGAACATGGACGATGCCAAGCCGGCCAGCAATACAACAACTAGCAGCAGCAACAAGTCGTCCTCGTCCTCATCCTCAGCCTACGGCGATGCCTTTAGCTCCTCGAACGGCGGCGGAGGTCGCGGCGGTGGCCTGTGCTCCCTGGAGAACCAGCCGCCCGAGCGGCAGCAGCAGCAGCAGCAGCAGATGGTGACGCCCGCCGGAGGGGCCTCCGCCCCCGAGGCGGCCAATTCGGCGCCCCTTTCCGTTTCCGGTTCGGCATCGGAGCGGGTGAACAACCGCAAACGGCACCTGTCCAGCAGCAATTTGGTCAACGATCTGGAGATACTCGACAGGGAGCTGAGCGCCATCAACGCGCCCATGCTGCTGATCGATCCGGAGATCACCCAGGGAGCCGAGCAGCTGGAGAAGGCCGCCCTGTCGGCCAGCAGGAAGCGATTGAGGAGCAACAGCAGCAGCGAGGACGAGAGCGATCGGCTGGTGCGCGAGGCTCTGTCCCAGTTTTATATACCGCCGCAGCGCCTGATCTCGGCCATCGAGGAGTGTCCCCTGGATGTGGTTGGCCTGGGAATGGGAATGAATGTGAATGTGAATGTGGGCGGAATCAGTGGAATCACTGGCATCGGTGGAGGTGGAGCTGCAGGCGCTGGCGTCGAAGTTTCCGGAGGCAAACGGATGAAGCTGAACGACCATCATCATCTGAACCACCATCATCATTTGCACCATCATCTGGAGCTGGTCGACTTCGATATGAACCAAAACCAAAAGGATTTCGAGGTGATCATGGACGCGTTGAGGCTGGGAACGCCGACGCCGCCGAGCGGCGCCAGCAGCGATTCCTGCGGACAGGCGGCCATGATGAGCGAATCGGCCAGCGTTTTCCACAATCTGGTGGTCACCTCGCTGGAGACATGAAAGTACCAGTGAATCCGCAACCGAATCCGAATCCCCGAGCAGCAGACAAAGATTAAAGAGTTTAGATTTTATATAAGACACTGGCATAGAGTTTTTAAGGAAACATTTAGGCTATGACACGTACACGTACTAACCTAAGCTAAGCTATTATTATAAAGAAGCGAAGATCGGGCGGATTGGCCAGTATTACTCATTAATGGCAGTCGCGATTTGTACAAACAAAAATACACACAAAAAATAGTAGTAGGCAAAGGAAAAAACAAAAGAAAACAAAACAAAAATCAAAGAATTTGTAGTCAAAACAGCAGAAAGAAACAAAAACAAAAACAAAAACCAGAACAATCTATAAGTTAAATTTAAAGGAAGAAAACGAAAATTAACTCCATACTTGTAACGAATCAACAAAAATTCAGTTGTGGTTTCCATTTCGGTTTCGTAGAGAGCTCCGTTTTAAATGAGAAAACTATGCAGAAAACTTCCAGTTAAACAAAAAAAATTGCATAAGCCAAGCACATTCCACAATGCTATATAAATGATATACCCAACTTTCGTTCCTCCTGAATTTTTGTTTTTTTTTTCTACACTATCCATTGGATATTTTAAAATATCTCGCATGCGCGAAATATCAAATTTTGCATTTAGGAAATATATATTTTTTTGTAAAATAAAAAACCCACAGAAGTTCTCCTAGTCATTCAAACAAAAAAGAAGAAAATAAACGAAAGAGAACGCAACGATATCCAAATCAAAATTGAAAAAAACAAAACAAAAACCGATGCAAGGTTTCATTTTATTAAATTCCAAATAAAGTTCGTTTATTAAACTTGATTTGTTCCAACTTTTTGCCTCTGCACAAACACACAAGATGAAGACAATGTTCTGACAAGAAAACTGAGACATGAAAGCAAATTAAAATAGCAATTTAAACAAAAAACAAAACCACAAAAATAATATACAAAAAAAGTGCAATTAGAATTTTTTAAAATATTGAAATCAAGCCTCAAAAACAAAAACAAAAAAAAACCAACAAAAGTGCATTCAAAAAGATTTAAACACAAATCGGGCAAATTATTAAATTAATAATTAGTAGTAATTTAATAAACCATTTAAGGCAAACAAACAAAAACCGCAAAAAAAAAAACAATTTTTTCTTCGAAAAAAATTACGGCTGTGATAGAATTTTAAGTTTTTTGGCTAAACAAAAGAGAAGAAACCACAAAAGTTACCATTAAAAAGCAAAACAAAAAGTACTACAAAAATATACCAGGCATAAAATCATGAATATTATGATCTATGTGTAAAACGAACATTTAGTATTAGTAAAAACAAAACAAAACAAAACTAATTGTGTAGAAGAAAAGCGCGAGCTGTACTTTCTTTCAGCGAGAGAGGGGCGAATGAGAGAATCTCTCAACTTTCGCTCGCTCGGCTTTCATTGATTTTATATATATCTATATATATATATATGTATAGAGATATAAAGATATATATTTTTTGCATTTTCTATAAGTCGCCTCGCCTCGCCTAAGCTTTCGTTTTCGTTTCACGTTTCTCGCTTTTGTTTTCGTTCGCGTCTTTTGGCCCAAAAGAAACCAGACCACAAACCAATCTGTTCCCCCAACGGTAAAAACAAAGATATATCTGCTTATAGGCGGGCTATAAGGGGCGGGAAAGTCAAAGACTAAAGACTCAAAGAATCTAGAGAGCAGGTCCTTCATCGATCACCTTTTTTTACTGTTGTCCCCAACTTCCCAAATATCGTATTTTGTTTAATGCTTAAGTTTTTGATATGATTATTTTTGATTTAATTTGTAATTATATTGTGCGTTTTTAACTAGAAGAATTACTTAGCCTATGTACGTACACATTTAGTGAACATTATCCATATGTATTTCCATTTTAGTTAATATTCCTACATATACACACTACATAGATAAACCAATATATAAAATACATATATGGTGTTCTGCCCGATCCCGTATTGATCGCGTCGCAGACGAACTATTAAGCATTCAAAGCTATGCAACAAAGGCAAAATAAATTATACAAAAAAAAAATTCAACAAAAAAATTATGTTTTTATTTCGTTTCTTATTTTTTAGATGGTTGATTTTGGTTTGGTATTTTATAGCTTGGACGGATTTTGAAACATTGAGTAATATAATTTGATATCGATTCGATTTTCATTTAAATTTGTTTATCGATAAGGAATCTTGTGCGATTGCTGATTAATTCCGATAACGATGGCCCAATAGCTGCGTGCCTCTATGAGATCATCATCGTCATAGCTCCGAAAATTTGTCTGTGGTTGACCTAGCCCAGGGTTAAGCCTCTGGCTTTGTTTTGTTTATACATATTTGGGGGTCAAATTTATTGAAAGCAAAACGATCAACACACTCGAAATTGTTCCGTTGACTGCATTCCGCTGGCTGTACTTTTGTATTTGTATTTTCGCTTTGAATGCCAAATTTTTTGGACCAACGCGACGCTCTCCCCGCTTTTTAGATGGGTCTTCGGCTTTAGCTTTCGGTTTCGTTTTGGGTTTTCAGTTTTTCGGTTTTTTGGTTTTGGCCAATGCCGCATTCGTTCAACGACTCTGGATTTCTGGCCTTGGCTAAAAGATTTGTAGGTTCCAGTCTGATGGATCCATTAAAATAGTCTTCATGTGGGAGTTTTAGTGCATTGCATGATCTTTATGTGATGGAAAATATGCCTAGCTTCCTGTATTCTGAATTACAAACCATAATTTTGAACATTTTAAAAGCATAAATTACATTTTTATTTAACCAAATGCAATGAAATGATATTGGGGGAACAGATTATAGGATACATTATGCGGGCCTTTTATGATTTGCCAACTGAATAATACCTCTTAATCTATGGACCAGTCTCTCTAGCACATACACATACATACATATAAATATATCTATATTAACTTGATTTCCGATCAATGAATTCGTAGTTACAAAGTTGGAAAACACGGCTTTCCTCTTTTGTTCTTGATTTGAATGTTCCAAATGATTTAACTTCATAGAGATTATATATATAAATATATATATATATTTAGTATATACATACATGTAGCGGAGTTAAGGATACATAAGTGCTTTTTAATGGAATATATAGACCGCAAAAGAGAAATAACAACTCACGATGTGAGGACAAGTAACATTGTATTGGATAACAAATGACATATGAACTAAATATACAGAGCCTAGATGTACGTATTTATTATGAGTTGCTTTTAGTGTGATAATTCATTAGCGAAGGTCATAAGTGAACAATTTGCAAATAAATTCTAAGAAAAGCATATGAATTGTATTTCTTGTTTAAGAACTATCTGGGTTGTGCTATTATTTTTATGATGGCAAGTTGTGATGTTGGTGTTGTTGGTGATCTATCCAAATGGAGTTGCGCATTTCGATCTGTGGAGGATAGATAATTTAATAGGCCTCTAGTTTTGATCTATTTTGGACTTACTCAGCACTCAGGCTTATGATCGCCACCTAGGATTCCCATATCCGCCTCGTAGAGAATCCTATTGAACTGAAATTGGACACAACTCCGAATGCGTGGCGAATACTGGGCCAGTTTGCAGGCCACATACTTCATATAGAGGCTCGTATCACATTCTTTACTGTCCTTGATATCCGTAGTATCCGGCTCTTGATTCTCCGGCTTTTTCTCCTTCTCTTCCGGTTTTCCCTCGACGGCCTTACAGCTACTGGATGCTTGTTCGTTCACCAAATCATCGGTTAAATCGCCCATCGGCTCTAAATCCACTTCCTGAATCTCCGCTTCCAACTTTGGTGGCTCGAACTCGGCTCGAAACTCCTCGAATGCCGAGCGATACGGTCTTTTGCGCGAATTTTCCGCAAGGAACTCGCAATCGCTGCTTAAGTCATCCATATCCTCATCGGAAAATGAGCCAAAGCTGTTTTCTGAATAAGTAGACTGGAAAGAAAGAATGAAAAAGTTCTTAAGAGAAAACGTTCAGTTCAAAACAGTATGTATTTTTGGTCTAAGACCATTTTTGGTCAAGTTATAGCAAAAAAAAAAAGGAAAAAATTTATTTTTTTGTAAAAAAGGGAAATCCCGAATTTCGGGGAAAAAAAAGCAAATACTGATTAAAAGTATGGATTGTCATACCTTTCTGAACTCGTTATTAAATTTCCTAACGATTGGCATTTAAACCTTGACATTTTATCTATTTTTCATTTTTCGCAAAAAATCATGGGGTACCCCTTATAAAAAAAAATAAATTGCCGAAAATTTTATTTTTTCAAGATCACCCGGAAAGTGTTATGGATTTATTTATTATTTTGTTATCTGTTCAAAACAGTATGTAATTTTGGCGTACGACCATTTTTGGCCAAGTTACAGCAAGAAAATGAAAAGAAAAAACTGTAATTTTTACCAAAAAACCCATATCCTAATTTTCTACAAAAAAACAACAGTTTCAAAAAGTATCCACAACAAAATCCTAGATCTGCCACTGACACAAACCAATCAGTCCAAAACTCTCTGTTATGAATATAAAACTGGATTTGCCAAGAAACGAAGTTCTCTTTATTTTCTTGTTCAGTTTACTCTCATGCTCTTTACACTGCTTTTCACGCGCATTTATTTGTTGTTGGTATTAGGGTGGACCACAGTACTGTTGGATCTCAAGGTGAAGTAAGATAAAGATAAAAAAGCAAGTAAGTTTTACCAATTAACATAAAAATAATCTGTTGTGAGTATACGCAAAAAAGTGTCAGGAAAATTTACAGGTTTCCTTTTTTTTCCATTGAATAAAATATTAAAAAAAGTTTTTTACATTTCAAAATAATACCATTAAGCTACAAATTATACGGAATGTCATTAAAACGGGTATCATTGATAAGAATTAAAATTGTTTTTATACATTTATGATATTAAGCTGTTATACCAAACAAGGTCCACCCTGGAGTGAGGAAATCTCAGGTAATGTAAGTATTTACCTTCTTTGGCGCTTCGGTCTCATTTTGGTTTTTGTTGGGCGGCATCAAGAAGGCGACATGCGGTGCCCACCACCTTCTGCTTGGACTGCCCCGCCGCAACTGGGATCGCAGGGAGTTCATCTTCCTCTTGACCTCCACCACCTTCATGTCCATGGCAGTGGCCACTTTCATCCAGGAATCGATCCTTTCCTGGCGATGCGAATGCGCCCGATGTTCGGTGTTCCACAACAGCGTCTCGTTTCGATAGGCGCGGATCAACTTGATGGTGCTCTCATCGTCCCAAACCACCGCATCACTCATTTCGCGCTTTAAAAATCAATAACAGTGGTAAAAAAAGACGAGTTAAAAATGATTTGCAGTCCGCTCGAAACTTTTAGATCTACATTCGAATGCAGTTGAAAAACCTTTGAGCTGTGATCTTTTTTTTTACCTCTCTCGCTCAGTTTAAAGTGGTGGTGGTGGTGATATTACCTCTTCTCTCTCTTTTTTCTTTTTCTCTGTTATCCTCTCTTAAATTACAAACGATTTGGCTTGTATTTTATTAAGGAAACGGAAGGGTTGTTTTAAAAATAAATGCGCCATTTGAATTAAAACGTTAAAACATATTTTTTTCAATAATTTCCTTTTTACATTTTATTAAGATCGCGTTGAGGTCTAGTTTACATTTAGTATCCGTATCCCTGGCTGCAAGGAGCTGGGGTGAAAACGCTCGCACAGCTGAATACATAGTTTTTGGGGCACGGTGGCGATGGAACCGAGGCGCCGCCGTAGGACGGAGCAGGAGCAGCAGATCCGTAGGATGGCGCAGATCCGTAGCCAGCTGTCCTTGCCATTCCAACGATTTGATCCATTTGGGTGCGAGCGTATCCCGAAGATTTCGAGGCAGGAGCTGAATAACCAGAAGAAGCAGCAGGAGCCGAATAACCAGAAGAAGCAGCAGAGGCCTTGGGTGCTGAATAGGATGGCGCGGCAGGCGCCGCTGCAGGGGCTGAATAACCGGAGGAGGATGCCTTTGGTGCTGAATATCCAGAGGATGCCGGTGCTGCAGAGCCCGCTGAATACGCCCGCGCTGAATATCCAGATGATGCGGGAGCTGAATACGAGGGAGCGGCAGGTGCTGAATAGGATGGAGCTGAGTATGATTGAGCCTTTGGTGCTGAATAAGATGAAGCAGCAGGGGCGGAGTAAGATGGAGCGACTGGCGCTGAATAAGATGGAGCCTTGGGTGCTGAATAGCTTGGGGCAGAAGGAGCTGAGTATGATGATGAGGGGGCTGAATAAGATGAAGATGCGGGTGCTGAATAGGATGGAGATGCAGGCGCTGAATAAGATGGAGATGCAGGCGCTGAGTAACTGGATGAAGCAGGAGCTGAATAGGAGGGTGCAGCGGGCGCCGAATAAGATGGAGCCTTTGGCGCTGAATAAGAAGGTGCAGCAGCCGCTGAATAACTGGCTGGTGCAGGAGCTGAATAAGATGGTGCAGCTGGTGCGGAATACGATGGAGCGGCAGGAGCTGAATATGATGGAGCCGCAGGTGCGGAGTACGATGGAGCGGCAGGTGCTGAATATGATGGAGCGGCAGGAGCTGAATACGATGGGGCCGCAGGCGCTGAATACGATGGAGCCGCAGGTGCGGAATACGATGGAGCCGCAGGAGCTGAATACGATGGGGCAGCAGGAGCTGAATACGATGGAGCGGCAGGAGCTGAATACGATGGAGCCGCAGGTGCTGAATACGATGGTGCAGCTGGTGCTGAATACGATGGAGCTGCCGGTGCTGAATACGATGGAGCGGCAGGAGCTGAATACGATGGGGCAGCAGGAGCTGAATACGATGGAGCTGCCGGTGCTGAATACGATGGAGAGGCAGGTGCTGAATACGATGGTGCAGCTGGTGCTGAATACGACTGAGCTGGAGCAGCAGGCGCTGAATACGATTGGGCTGGAGCAGCAGGCGCTGAATACGACTGAGCAGGAGCGGCAGGCGCTGAATAGGACGGTGAGTAGACCGGAGCAGCTGGGGCGGAGTATCCTTGGTCCTTCGGCGCTGAATAGCTGGACTGCGAATTGTAAACGACCGGCGCTCCGTAGGCCTGCGAGGGAATTTCCCTGGTGTGTCTCTCCTCGTAGTCAAACTCCGACTGCGGCAGGCCCTCGTCGAACTCCTCGTTCTCGGTGGCCGGAAGCGCAAATGCGGTGGCCAAAAGGCAGCCGATGGCCACCAAGATCAGTTGTCGTCGTCCACACATTGCTAACCAAGTTGTGACTAGAGTTTCGGGAAACGGGGCTACTTTATACGGCTGCGGGAAAAACAGATCAGCGAAATTATCCAATTCACCAAGAATATTGTGCAATTGCAGTTTGGTTTTGGTGGGTTGACTTTTCACTGTTCTGCATTCGGAGCGGTTCCATTTAAATTCGCTGGATTCGATCGTTTTCCCGTCACCTTTACTTTTACCACGAACCGTTGAGTCGGCGTTGTGAGTGAAAAGCTATTGACCCGATTTAAATACCCTTCAAATTTAGAGTTTCTATCTTAATAAAATCATTATTATTAATTTAAATTTTTTATTTATTAATATTATCGGTGATATTTATTACGATTTTTTGTGCAAAATTCATCACTATTTTAATTGAACCCACAAAAGTCAAAAGAAAAAAAGAGTATGCTAAGTAATTAGTTTTATTGTGTGTCAGCACTTTTGCTTAAAAACTCGGTCATCGATGGAATGCTGAGCTGTCAATATGTGGGTTGAAATGCTGATTGAAATAAAAGATATTTAATTGCAAGCTACATGTGTAAAATTTAAGCATTGGAGTTTACTACCTGTTCCGGTTTTCGTTTTTATATATATCATATTTTTATAATAAATTATTGTAAAACAATAAGGTTATTATTATTTCTCGCATTTCTAATATCCTCCTTATTATTATGTAAACTTAAAAGCTCTAAAAGCGCACAATTTCAAATACAAGCAGTGCAGCGCGCCATCGCACTGCTTCGCCAAGTGCCGACTATCGATTGTTCTATCGATAGTGCTATCGCCCGGGAATCAACACGTCAACGCTTTCTTCCTCTTCTTCGCGTGCCGCTGCTCTGCTTCTTCTTCCTCGTCGCGGCGACTCTGTTTTTTATTCCATTCCCCACAAATCCAATCGCTCGCTCGACGTTCCGAATTTGTGAATTAGTGAATTGCTGTGGTGAATAAAAGTCGATTGGATTGGCCAGTGGAAAGTCGCGAAGGACAGCTGGAAGCGACGAACAAAACGGGACACGTAAGTGGAAAGCGGTACTTGGCTGGAAAGATGGCAGGCATAAGGGGCGTAGGGAGGGGCGCGGGGGGCGCAGACAGCTGCTTGCGTTGCAAAAAACGAAGACGAGGGGAAAGGAGGGGAAGGGAAGGGAAAGGAGAGAAGTGAAAGAGAAAGAATTGCGGAAGAAATGTGGAAGTAGAAAAGGTTAATGCTCTTTTCGCCGATTTTCACCTAAAAAGTCTGTGAAAAGTATTACCACCCATCAAATCCAGCCGGTAAACTTTATAATTATATGTATTTCTTACTGCCACATGAGCATTACTTTTGACCGATAATCCAGTTGTATGTTCAGTTCTATTAAGTACGTGTAGAAAGTGGTAAAAATCGAAGTAATATTTGTAATTCCAGTCAAGATATATCCACTTCATAAGTTTCCTTAAGTTTTTACCTTCAATCTACCAACATTTCATGTCATACCTTAGTTCTGGAAAGATTGTTCAAAGAAAATATCTAGAAATATCTACCAGTTTCCATAGAAAATCATCATATTGTATTAAAATAATCCATTTCTATGTTCAGTTTTATAAAGTACGTGTACAAAGTGGTACAAATCTAAGTAATACTTGTAATACATCCAAGTTTAATATAGTTCTACTAAATATGGTAGCCTATGAGCAAAAGATATATTAACTTTATAAGTTTCCTTGAGTTTGTACCTTCAATCTAGAAATATCTACCAGTTTCTATAAAAAATCACCATATTGTATTAAAAAAAATCCACTTCTATGTTCAGTTCTATTAAGTACGTGTAGAAAGTGGTAAAAATCGAAGTAATACTTGTAATTCCAACCAAGTTCTACTAAACCTAGTGTTCTATGAGAAAAAGATATAGCAACTTCAAAAGTTTCCTTAAGTTTGTACCTTTAAACTAGAAATATCTACTAGTTTCTATAGGAAATCAGCATATTATTTTAAAATATATGTAGAAAGTGGTAAAAATCGAAGTAATACTTGTAATACCAGCCTAGATATATCAACTTCATAAGTTTCCTTAAGTTTGTACCTTCAATCTACCATTATTTTTTGTTATACCTTAGTTCTGAAGAGATTAGTCTAGAAATATCTACCAGTTTCTATAGGAAACCACCATATTGTATTAAAATACAATAAATAATACAACAATTCAGTTTTATTATAATTCCAGTCAAGTTCTACTAAATATAGTAGTCTGTGAGCAAAAGATATAATATAGCAACTTTAAAAGTCTTATTAAATTGGCTCCTATAATCTCGAAATATCTGCCAGTTTTCATAGGAAATCAGCATATGCCATATTAAAATATTAATAATATTTACCCCCGATAGACCATGAAACTGGTGCTCTTGCTGAGCGCCCTGCTGGCGGGGATCGCCCTTTCCCGAGGCGCCGCCGTGATGTCCGTGGACCTGGGCAGCGAGTGGATGAAGGTGGGCGTCGTGTCGCCCGGCGTGCCCATGGAGATTGCCCTGAACCGCGAGTCCAAGCGCAAGACGCCCGCCATTCTGGCCTTCCGCGATGGAGTTCGCACGATTGGCGAGGATGCCCAGACGATTGGCATCAAGGATCCCAATTCGGCATATGGCTATCTCTTGGATTTGCTGGGCAAGACCATAGATAATCCTATTGTTGATTTGTATAGGTGAGTTTTGCTAAAGCCACGTCATTGCTTACCGATTAATAACTTAACTTAACAATAGAAAACGCTTTCCCTACTACAACATTGTGGGCGATCCGGAGCGCAATACGGTGATCTTCCGGAAGAGCGACACCGAGGAGTTCTCCGTGGAGGAGCTGGTGGCCCAGATGCTGGTCAAGGCCAAGCAGTTTGCCCAGGAGTCTGTCCAGCAGCCGATCACCGAGTGCGTACTCACGGTGCCGGGTTACTTTGGTCAGGCGGAAAGGGAGGCTCTCCTGGCAGCCGCCCAATTGGCCAATCTCAAGGTGCTCCAACTGATCAACGACTATGCAGCGGTGGCCTTGAACTACGGCGTCTTTCATCGCGGCGAAATCAACGAGACGGCCCAGTACTTCCTCTTCTACGACATGGGCGCCTACAAAACCTCGGCCGCGGTGGTCAGCTATCAGTTGGTGAAGGACAAGCAGACGCGCGAGGTGAATCCAGTGGTCCAGGTGCTCGGCGTGGGCTATGATCGCACGCTGGGAGGTCTGGAGATTCAGTTGCGTCTGCGCGATTACCTGGCCAAGGAGTTTAATGCGCTGAAAAAGACCAAAACCGATGTGACCAAGAATCCCAAGGCTCTGGCTAAGCTTTTCAAGGAGGCGGGACGCCTAAAGAACGTGCTCTCGGCCAACACAGAGTTCTATGCGCAGATTGAGAACCTGCTGGAGGATATTGACTTTAAGTTGACGGTGTCACGCGAGAAACTGGAGCAAATTTGCGAGGATCTGTGGCCCAGGGCCACCAAGCCACTGGAGCAGGCTTTGGCCTCCTCGCATCTCAGTTTAGATGTAATCAACCAGGTGATTCTGTTTGGCGGCGGCACGCGAGTGCCACGCGTTCAGGAGACCATCAAGGCGCTGATCAAGCAGGAGCTGGGCAAGAACCTCAATGCCGATGAGTCGGCAACCATGGGCGCCGTTTACAAGGCAGCCGATCTCTCGGCGGGCTTTAAGGTGAAGAAATTTGTGGTCAAAGATGCCACGCTGTTCCCCCTGCAAGTCTCCTTCGAGCGGGATCCTGGCGATGGAGCCGCCGTGAAGCAGGTAAAGCGTGCTCTGTTCTCCCTGATGAATCCTTATCCCCAGAAGAAGGTCATCACCTTCAACAAGCACTCGGATGACTTTGAGTTCTTCGTTAACTACGCTGATCTAGATCGCTACAGTCAGGAGGAGGTGGCCGCCTTGGGCAGCCTGAATGTGACCCGAGTGCAGCTGAGCAAGGTGAAGGAGCTGCTGGAGAAATCCAAGAAGGAACTGGTGGAGAACAAGGGCATCAAGGCGTACTTCTACCTGGACGATTCGGGCATTTTCCGCTGCACGGGCGTGGAGTATGTGTACGAGAAGCAGAAGGAGGAGGAGGAGTCGTCATCGGATGAGGATAGCACCTTGTCCAAGCTGGGCAGCACCATCAGCAAGCTGTTCACCAAGGAGGGCGAGGAGGAGGGCGAGAAGAAGGAGGACGAGGAGGCGGCGGCCAGTGAGGAGCCGGAGAAACCCAAGGAGGAGGAGCCAAAGCAAGAGGATGCTAGTAAACAGGAGGCGGAGGCCAAGAATGACACCATTAAGCTGGTGACGGTTAAATCCCCAGTGACCTATGAATCCCACACCCAGTTCACTGTTCCCTTGGCCGGCGAAGGCTACAATAACGCAGTGGCCAAGCTGGCGGCGATCAACAAGGCGGAGGAGCAGCGTGTGCGCCTGGAATCCGCCTTTAACTCCCTGGAAGCCCACATCATCGAAGTGCAGCAGAAGCTGGAGGAGGATTCCTATGCCAAATGCGTGACTGCCGAGGAGAAGGAGAAGCTCCTCGCGGAATGTAGCTCTCTGGGCGAGTGGCTCTACGAGGATCTGGAGGATCCCAAGGCGGAGATCTACGAGGAGAAGCTGGCGCAGCTGAAGAAGTTATCCAACGTCTTTTTGGCCCGCCACTGGGAGCACGAGGAGCGACCAGAGGCCATCAAGGCGCTCAAGGGAATGATTGAGGGCGCCGAAAAGTTCCTGCTGACCGGACGCAACCTCACCAAGGACACGAATCCCGAGAAGGATGTCTTCACCCAGGTGGAGATCGATACGCTTGCCAAAATCATCAGCGAGACGAATGCCTGGCTGAAAACGGAGACGGCGGCCCAGAAGAAGCTGGCCAAGAATGCCGAAATCCGGCTGACCGTCAAGGATATCACCGATAAGATGAGCCTGCTGGATCGCGAGGTCAAGTATCTGGTGAACAAGATCAAGATCTGGAAGCCCAAGGTGAAGCCAGTCGCCGCGGAGAAGAAGAAGGAGGAGGAGCCGGTGGCCTCCGGCAGTGGCGATGGCACTAAAGAGGCGACGGAGGAGCAGCAGGATCAGCAGGAGCAGCCGGAAAAGGAGAAGCCTGTGGAGGAAATCACGCCGACGCCCACGGAGGAGGCAGAAGATGCCAAGACACCGCACAGTGAGCTCTAAGGAGCCAGCGATTATGGAGGATTACAAAGAGAAGTGCCTGTTCTAGGGGGTCAAACACGGGGGAACAAGACGGGCGTCTTAATTTCTATGATTTTTTTAGCTAAAGTCGGGGTTAAATTATGCTACTTCTAATCTAAAACAAGAAACAAAAAAAAAAACACAAAATCCACACACAAAATAATGTAAAACCGTTACTAAAATGTATAAACCACTTTCCATTTCCGTACCATTCCGCATGGGAAATACAAGACTTGAAGAAGTACTCACACGGTCCCCTCTATATATCCACTATATATATCTTATCGAACCATTGTAGCGAAAGTAGCCAAACCAATTGGGCGGGGAGCCGAGTTAAGATCGTAATAAATCTGAAATCGCCAAGTTTGTGTTGTATTGAATGTTAATTAAAAAGATTAATTAGAAAGTAGATTTTAGAAACTTTTCAAATCTGCCGCCTAGTCAAGTCACCAACCAAGGTGGGTGTACCAGCTAAGACAGAATGCCAGGTGGGTGTCCTCGCTAACTGCACTTCTAGAGATGACAACCCATCGATAACCCCTATCGATAGCGAACATCGAGAATATCGCAATATGACCGCTCTTGCACACCGCTAATTTGTTGTTGGTAAAAAAAGGTAAAGCGGGCGGACGTGCGTGGAACTGAAACTGAATTTAATTCTCCGTGAATCTGAATTTTCGCTGCTGCGTGCGTGTATTATTTTGTTCTGTTTTTTTTTTTTATTGTCTTTTTCCTGGAGCTGCTGTTTTGCCCACCAATACACACGCAGAGTTGCTGTTTTTTGTGCCCGTTCCGTTTTTCCCCTGTGTCTGTGTCTCTCTTTCTGTGTTCCGTGTTCCGTGCAAACAAAGGATTTGTTCTTGGGGCTCCTCCGTTAGTTTCAGTTGTTAGTTGCTCGCTTTAGCCCTGTTTTAGTCGCCCAAATATTGATAAATGATTAAAAGCCAACTTGCAGACTGCTCTCCTGCGTGTGTGTGAGTGTGCCCGTGTTTGTGTGTGTGTATGCAATGCTGAAAACTCAGACTGGGAACTGCAGGGGGAAAGGGGGGCCGTTGGATGGGGAAACGAAGCAGGATGAGAAGGAGGAGGGGATAAGCAGGGGGCGGGGGGAAAACAGTTATGCAGCTGTGCACAGTGGAGCCTCGGCAAAATTGGCTCAGTTTTCGATTTCCGATTGCCCATACTTGACACTTTCCTCTTTGTCATGGATTTTCTTCATCTGTCTCCATTTTTCTTTCAACGCGAGCTTTTTCTGTGTAGAAATTTCCCCCGTGTGAGCACACGAAAATAACAAACGCAGCAGAAAACGAAGACGAAGAAGGGGGGGACAGGAGATAAACGCAAAATTTGTTTCTTTTTCGCCGATTTCCAATCGGTTTTTCGATGAGTTCCGATCGTTGCGTAGGCAAGAAGAGAAGAGAAGACCTGCTGTGCGAGCGAGACGGACCAGCCGTTTGCACAAGTGTGTGTGTGTGTGTGTCAGGTTTTGTCTGTTCCTGTGCGTGTGTGTGTGTAAGCCATTAGTTGTTTTTGTTTTTGTTTTGGCTAGCTAACAACAATAATACAAAAGTTAAGAACAAGCCAAGTGAAATGAAACTGAAACACGTGTTTAAACCCCGATTTGCAGCCAAAAAGCCCAGGAAAAGCCAACAAACAAATATATAAACTGAGCACTGAAAAAGAAAAGCAAAGAAAAAACGGTAATAAGTCGGGAAAATCAAAGTGCAAAACTGAACGCCAAAAAAACGAGCGGAGAGTGCGAGCGAGACAGCGCATGCTGGGCGCCGCAGGAGCTGAAGAAGAAGAAGAAGCAGTGAGAGTGAAGTTAACTGGAAGTGGAGTGGAAAGAGGAGAGCGAGCGAGAGGAGAGGAGAGCCAGCGGAAGGGAAACAACAAAGAACGACGGCGACGGCCAAAAGAAAAAGTCGCCTTTCCAATCTACCTCGAAACACAAGCAAATCGTTATTCTAAAAAGCACAATAACTAAAATAAACACCAAAATATAATATAAATATACTGGTAGAAGAGGAAGCAGCCACTTGACAAAAAGGAAAACGCAACAGCAGCGCCATCTAGTGTCGGCGAGTCGAAGCAGCAGCTGACAGACAGAAAGAGACCGCAAAGAGGGGAGCGAACAACAAATACAAATACAAGCTTTCTTCGCCTGGAAGTCGCAGAGGAGGAACGACAGAGAGGGGGGAGTCGGCTCCCGAAAAACTCCATTTGGACCACAAAAATATAATAATCATCATAGTAGCCAAGTAGAGAGCCCAGAAAAAGAAGACCAGACCAGACCAGTTGCCTTTTTAGCCCGCCACAAGATGGCGTGCCTTAACACCCTGAAGCAGGAAATCAAAACGCTGGAGAAGATCTTCCCGAAGAACCACGAGCGCTTTCAGATCCTCAATTCCAGCGTCGACGAGCTGCTCTGTCGGTTCATCGATAAGAATGGAAAGCGCTACGATATCCATGCCAACATAACGGTAAGTCGCCAAAACACACAGAAAAAATTGCAAGCCCAAGGTCTAAAGAAAAAAAGTTTACATCTGACTCATTTCCAAAAGAAATGCAAATTCAACCAGCTTAATGGATTTCTAACAAGTTTTTCCATGAAACTGACCTTCTCTGCAATTTTAAATATAATTTTCGCAATCAGCGGCCCCCAAGTGCATAGGAATTGAAGCTTTTTTTTTTCCGTGTATCTGCCTTATCGTCTCTATTTATCGTTATCGATAGATAGGCTGCATTGGAGTTGGGCTATCATAGCGCCGTGTTTACAAATGATTTGGAGTTGGGGGCCGAGAAGGGACTACGGGTTCTGGGAGGTAACCCTCTACTGTTCCAGACCCGGCAATGCAACGATAACTCTATTTATACGGCGATTGTATGGGCTTCTATATATAGCAGGTATGGCAAGTGGTCCGAGTTTAAAAGCCCGGGGTTAATGGTTCGAAGGCCTGACATCTCAAGAATATAAACTTATTGATACAAGATTATTTATCTTGATTATCCCAGAATTTCTCCTTTCTTCCTTGAAATATTGCCATCCTTGTCTGCTTTCCGAAACTACTTCTTTTCTTTCTTCAATTTTACTTTATCGTTTATCCCTCTCTTTCTTTACCGCTTGTGCGTGTTTATATATGTGAAGATTTGTGCCGATTCTTTATTCCCACGCTGCTCGGTTCAAATGGGATTCACATGTATGAATATTATACGTATAAGTATGTGTGAGGTAGTCGATGCCCTTTGGATACTCTCTTTTTTTTTTGCCAATTTAGACTGAATCCTTCCAATGGCCTCTATAGGATATTTTTATATTGGGTATTTAAATACTGATTTTAATAAAATGGTATTTAATGGCATAATTGGATATCCCAATTCTTCCAATATCCCAAATGACACCCTCGATAAGGTGTGATTCATCATCGATCGGTTGCCAAGCTGTTCCGTTCCATCTGTTTTCTGTCTTCGGTGATCACTGATCCCCGCTTGGTTCAACGATCTAATTAAAGGTTATAATTTCGTACTTGCTGTCGGGTTGTTCGGTGCTCCATCGTTTATTATTTGTTTATTTACATGTGCATGCAAAGTAGCTCCGACGACGACGACGACAAATTCACCTGAGAACGGCAAAAAAAAAAAAGAGAACGCGAATGGAAATAAGAGAGATCTTTTGTCTGTGCCCAATTGTCGAGTGCAAAGTCAAAGTCCTTGACCCACCCCACACACGCGATTTGCAAGGCCCACCCCACTTGGGCTAGAAACACAGTAGATCCCCGATATAACTGACTAACTACTGATATTAGTATACTTTACAAACATAAATATAATATAATAACCTAGAGGTATATTGCATAGGTGTTTTTTCTATGGGAAAATCAGGCTTTATCAGTTTGGATTTTATTTTTATTTATTTTTTCTAATCTAATAAATACATACTCAAAAAATACCCATTGTTTCTGGGGTATTTGAACTCCAAACCCCATATAACTAATACCTCTATTCTTGGATCTTCCAGGAAACGTATCCCTCATCGCCGCCTGTTTGGTTCGCCGAAAGCGAGGAGACGAGCGTCACAAATGCTGTTCAAATACTTAGCAATACAAATGGACGTGATAATCACGTGATTAATCAGGTGAGTCGACTTTATACCCCGTAGAATTCATTAACTTTTGGATATTACTACTCGATGCTATAGGTGGGCATACTGCTGCGTGAGCTGTGCCGACTACACAACGTTCCACTGCCACCCGACATCGATAATTTGGCCCTGCCGCTGCAAACGCCGCCGCCATCCGCTTCGCCACTCCGCTGCGAGCAGAGACCCGGCGGCGGGGGAGCGGGGGGCGGGGGCGGACCGCACGGCAACGAGGAGACCGACTCGGATCAGGAGGAGATCGAGGATCCCATTGGCGAGAGCGAACAGGAGAGCGAGGGCGACGAGGATTTGCCGCTGGAAATGGATGATGTACGAAGTACAAACAAGGTGAGCTAAGCTGTAGGATATATATAATATCCAGAAATCCATCCTACAATAAGGACCAAAACATATATTTCTCGATATTTAAAAGAAGTTTTCCCTCGAAAACATCGATTTTGTAAAATATCGAAAATATCGATAATTTTTAAGCTCTACCAATATCGAAAATATCGATAATTTTCAAACTATCACAAAAAGGGCCCTGCGTTTCCAGAAATTCATATTTCACTTGGGTGTCGCAAGAGACTCCCCTTTAATTGCCCTGCAATTGATTTGGCACATGTTACCTTCCCAATATTACCAACTTTTTGCCTCTACTATAAGTGCCATCGTGGGCGGCAAGGTGGCAATTACCTTTGAAGTGCTAGTCTCCTAGCAAATTGCGTCTAAATCGACCAAATAATTATATTTGTTGCAATCGAATTTGAGTTAATACATAGCTGCTCGGAAATTGCCTTGAAACAATTGTCTTTAAATCGATCAAATAATTACATGTGTAGTGCAATTGGTTGAGGTTTAATCCGAGATAGTTTTTGAGCTGAAATTGTATACTTACTTGATAATTAATAATAATAATTAACGCAGAAGGACGACATGGAAGTGGAACACCTAGCAACTCTAGAAAGACTGCGTCAAAGTCAAAGACAAGACTATCTAAAAGTGAGTTCAACAATACCTGATAATGCAATGTGATAATATTGAATGTTTCTACTCTTCTAGGGTTCCGTTTCGGGCTCCGTGCAGGCAACCGATCGCTTGATGAAGGAACTACGTGATATTTATCGATCGGACGCCTTCAAGAAGAACATGTATTCAATTGAGCTCGTCAACGAGTCGATTTACGAGTGGAACATACGCCTCAAGTCTGTCGATCCGGACAGTCCGCTGCACAGTGATCTGCTAATGCTCAAGGAGAAGGAGGGCAAGGACAGCATACTGCTCAATATCCTCTTCAAGGAGACGTATCCCTTCGAGCCGCCCTTTGTGCGCGTCGTCCATCCGATAATCTCAGGTGCGATTAGATTGGCCTGCGTAAACTAGGCGCCCTAACTTGAATGTTTGCTCTATTTACAAGGCGGCTATGTGCTCATCGGCGGTGCCATCTGCATGGAATTGCTGACCAAACAGGGCTGGAGCTCGGCCTACACCGTGGAGGCGGTTATCATGCAAATAGCAGCCACCCTGGTCAAAGGAAAGGCGCGCATCCAGTTCGGGGCCACCAAAGTATGTAGCATTTGTCGTTCAACTTGAAAACTTTTAACCATCTTCTTTATTCCTTTCATAGGCACTGACCCAGGGCCAATATAGCTTGGCTCGAGCCCAGCAGAGCTTCAAGTCTCTGGTGCAGATTCACGAAAAGAACGGTTAGCTGGCAGAGTTAATAGTTGAACGCAATCTAATGTTTTCTGTTCTCGCTTACAGGCTGGTTCACACCGCCCAAGGAAGATGGCTAAGATAGAAGAGTCCCCAGACGCACATCCTTTATAGAATAACGCATGCCACAACCAGCACACATCCATCAGCCACCAGCATTACCTTATCCACACCACCCGCCAAGCCCAAGCACACACACCTACCGCACTCACTGCCGGTTCGATAAAACCATATGGACGGAGCCCCCGAACTCGAGGAGAAGGCCCACTTTGTTTTGCTTGCTTGCAACGTGGATGGAACCATCCGCATATAATTAAGTTTAACGTGTATACCTTAGACACACTTTTGTATCCACGGTTGCTCTTTTTTTCGTTGCAAGTAAATTCATTTGTATATGCGCCCCACTCGACGTTTAATGTAGTGTAGTGTGTAGTCAGTCGTCTTCTAACCAAATCCAAATCCAAATCCCGCGGCCTGAAATCGTCCATCTTGTACAGAGTCTTGGAAACTGGAGCTGATTAAGTGAATATCGCAGCAGAGGTAGCAGACTAATCAGCGGACGAACGGTGTAAAATGTAAAGGCAATATCTGTTATGTATATGAATATAATTTGTAATTTAAATATTGTAAATGTAGTGGCTTCGAAAACCTTCCAAACACAACCCCCGCACACACCACACACACCATACACACACACACGCGCCTAAAATGTAAACTAGTTAAGACGCCTAACTGTATTCTTATTTTAATTTAACAAATCCGTGGTATCTTATATTTTTTCTCCCTAACTTAACTGGTAAGCAACCGAAAACAAAAAACAAAAGAAACGGCAAGTTGGCAAGAGAGTTGACGCAATGTCGAGCGGAATAGATATATATATATACCTATACATACATATAAATATAAATATACATAAATATAAAGATATATATTAATATTAGCGCGAGAGTTTAGCTTAAGCAGAATAATACAGAACGATGCGTCGAGGATGAGCAAATTCTAAGTGTAAATTCGTCTTTCCAAATAATCGTAAAATAACGTAAATCTAAATCTACAAAGAGAAAAACAAACATTACAAATAAAAACAAGCTAAATCGAGTAGTTGGAGAACGAAAATCGAAAATATTTGCAAGTGTAATATGCATTAAAGTAAAGCAAAAGCAAAGAAAATGAAAACAAGAGTTAATTTGAGGACAACTGTTTTGCTGTCCCCATTATCATTGTTTTTTTATTATTCGTACAACGGCAGACAAAATTTCATTGTACATTTCAAAACGGAAATTGGCATGCACGACGAAATGTTCATTTTAAGTATGTATTTAATAAAGAAGGATATATACATGCATAATACGGATCGAAGAGTATTTTATTTCCCCCAGAGGATTTGTAAAATAAAAAGAGCGTCTTGTTTGCACAGCTTTAATCTTAAAGTTGGTAGAAAAAAAATCATAATATTAACTAATAGCTACTTAAGATAACCCGAGGGAATTCTATCTAAGACTAATCGTCCGGATCACTGAACGAGGAAGTGGATCTTCTGGGTCACTCCACCTGGACCTTGCCCACCACGTAGCTCTCCGCCGCCGACGAGGGCTGCATCTTTGGTGCCTTGGCCTCCGAATAGGCGGGTCTATGGGCCACCTCGCCGTTGTCCATCGAGACGCCGATCAGCATGTCCATGGCGCCCTTCAGTCGCATCAGCTCGGCGGTCAGCTTGACCTCCGCCCGAACGGCCGCCGCCAGCCGTTCCAGGGCCACGATCAACTGCTGGCTGTAGGCCACCAGCTGCCGTTCGCAGACATCCAGGATCGTGCTGGCGGCCATCATCAGCGGACGCATGAATCGCACCTCGCCCAGGTGGGTGCACACAAAGTTGATGAACCGCACGAGCATGGCGTCCGGTCGATCGGTGAGCGCCTTGTCCAGCGATCTGCGATGCAGCAGATCCGTAATGACCGCCACCACGAGCTCCGGCTTCTTCTCCATCTTCGCCTTGGCCATCACCTCATCCAAGGCCTTCTTGTGATTAAATCCCCGCAGATGGACGTCGTATCGCTGCAGTCCTGTTCCCTTCGCCCGCTCCCGCACCGTGTGATCCACATCCTGGCTGTTGTTCGGTCGCCTCAGCTCCCTGAACTGTTTGCTGGCCCGATCCGCACGGATCTTCTTCAGGTGACTCGGCTTGCTGTCCACGATCATGCGGCGTATGGAGACCAGGCCATCGACCATGCCGGCCACAACGGCCTGATCCCCGCTAGCAACGCCCAGGCTGACCACGGCATTGGGATATGTGAGCGTGTGCACGGTTTTGTAGGTGCTCACATCGTAGATCTTGACGTGCCGATCCAGGCCGCCGGAGAAGAGTCGCCGGCCATCGGAGCCCAGGCGCAGGCAGGTGACGGTCTTGTGGTGCTGCGACATCATGGTGAGCAGCCGGCAGCCGCTGATGAGATCCCAGACGCGCACCTGGCTGCCGCCGGCGCTGACGAAGATGGAGCCGTGGGGCAGGAACAGCATGGACTCCACAGGAGCTCCATGATCCAAAGTGCGCTGCACCGCAGTCTCTGCACGCGTGTCATATAGATTAATCTTGCCATCGTAGCCGCCGGAGACGAACATGTGCGAGGTCTGCGGATGCATGGCGCCGGCACGGATATAGTCCGTGTGCACATCGCCGTAGGTCTGGACCACCTTCTCGTTGGCCACGTCCCACAGCCGGATCGCCTTGTCGTCCCCGAAGCTGGCCAGCTGCAGTTTGTCCGCCGTGAACTGGGTGCGATGCACTGGGGCCGTGTGGCCCTTGAAGAGGCGCAGAATGTTGCGGCTGGTGGTGTCGAACAGCTTGACGTGGCCCTCCTCGTCGCCGGCGGCCAGGAGGCGCCCGTCCTGGCGGAAGGTCGCCCCGTAGGCGGTCTTCTGGAAGCGCGAGAGGTTCTTCACCACCAGCTTGGTCACCAGATTGTAGATCTGCACGCGCACCGAGCAGGTCACCGCAAAGTTGTCCGGATCGCTGGGGCTGAAGTCCACATAGTCGATGGTGTTGTGCTCCTTTACGAGCTCCGGTTTCTGTGGGGGATTTTAAATGGGATTTATTGATGCGATCCAATCCTCTGCAGCTTTGAACTCACCGCCAGTCGGTTCCAGTAGACCGTGTCCGGGGTTTCCACCTGCGCCCGCTGCTGAAACCGCCTGGTGTTCAGTGGAAGGAAGTTGTTGTTCTGCATCCTGGAATCTGAATATGAATCTGAGTCCTGAATCTAGTCAATCTCCTTTCGCGCGCACGTGTTCTACTCCGCCAGAGAAACTGCCGCGAATCAGTGTTACCAGAGCTCGCCAGTGCTGGCAGCCCGGCTGTTTTCAAGCCAAGTCTGGCGGGGGGCTTGATGCGCCTCGGGGAAATTGTAAGTGTAGGCATTAAAAGTGTTGTACTCTAATGTTGATATTATTAAGAGTTTTAATATATATATATAGAGAGTTTTATTTGTACGTTTTATGAATAAAAATCCCTAATAACGATTATGTGAGAGTTGAAATAATAAAAATAACATGTAACGATTATTTGAGATTTCAAAAAATAAAATTCTTAAGTAACGGTAACTTTTGTTTTTTTTTTTTAAAAATTCTGAAATAAAAGTATATTTTATTTTTAGAACATGGAGGGAAAAACAAAATTTTTGGTGATTTTAATATTTTAATAATAGGGGGATTCCCTAAACTGTTGAATTGCTGAATTGTTGAAAATTCAACAAAAAATTTCAGCAATTAAGGGAACAACCCAAAATGATTCCTGTTGAATTTTCAAACAGCTGTTATTTGTTGAAAAATTTCACGGAACTTAAAGCATGTAAAATTTGATTTATTATTGCTAGTTACTCTCTAAAAGTGTTACCAAGGTAAAAAGAATTACAAATATGCTTTCTAAGTTGATTTTAAAATAAATAATGCGTTCTGGTGATACTAAAATGTTACAGAGTTGCCACGACTTTTAAAAAAAGGTTGACTTTGTATGGAACAGCTGATTAACAGCTGACCAAAATTCAACAATTCAGCAATTCAACAGTTTAGGGAATCCCCCTAATGATATTTTTTGGTCCCTGGTTAATAAAATAAATAATAATTACAATAAATGAAAAACAAAACGACATATTAATAAATTTTTAATTTTTTCCTACCTTTTAGCTTTTTTCCCGCCAGATGATAGTGCCACGACCAGCCACCTATCGATATCGATAGACGTGGCAGGTGCGTGTGCTATCGAGCACGGGCAAACACATGTTTGCAAACAAACATATGTTCGCTGTATTTGGCCCCAAAAGCAAAAAGGAAAAAGAAACAAGCAAAAACATTTCCGACTCTGCGATCCGCCGGAGCAGCGCGCTTTGGGGCTTTTGGCAACCTGAGTGACAGCCCCTCGCACTGGGCACTAAAATAATAATCATAGAGGCTAGATCTCGTGTCCCGGCTTAATTGAAATTTATTTGTTGTGATGCGGCCGCCACTGGGGGTTCCATAGTCGTATAGTTCTAGATTCTCCTCATCCGCCGCCTCCTCCACTTGCCAAATCTTAATTAACCGGAGGCATTGAGCATGTTAATATTAATTGGTGGCAATCAATGTGCCTGAGACCTCGAATCGAACGGAAGCTAGATTCCCGAGGAGAATAGTTCTAAATTCAGACGATATCCAGTTTCCATGGCGGAGGAACGCAACGAGAAGAAGGTGCTCTGCGAGAAGATCATCAGGGACATCAATGCGGTGTTCCTCAAGGATCAGGATCTGTGAGTTCCCTCATAAACTACTGTTAACCCTCCTATAATCTCTGATTTCTAATCCCTGATCCCCGCCAGCGCCTCGTTCGAGATCATACCCAAGGAGACGAACTGCAACAAGTCGCCGGTGGTGCATGTGGAGCACAATCTCGGCCTGGAGTCGTGGTGTGCCCAGCATGTCTACGACCACGCCCACCGCACCCTCATCTCCCACCGCCGCCAGACGACCGCCCAGCAGCTCCGGACGCTTCAGCAGCAGCAGCAGAGCGACGCCCTGGCCAAGTACCTCAATGTGGCCCTGCTGATCAATCCGGATGTGACCACCTTCTGGCACATTCGCCGCCAGCTGGTCCAGAAGAACCGGCTGAGCATCAACAAGGAGCTGCAGTTCTCCGCCCTCGTGCTCTCCATCAAGCCCAAGTCCAACGAGGCCTTCGCCTACCGCCGCTGGCTGTACTCCTTCCAAAGTAAATGGGGATTACAGGAGGCAGTCAACAGACTTCTGATATTCTTCCCTTTTCCAGGTGCCGATGCCATTGACTGGCCAAATGAGATCGGAATCTGCGAGAGGGCCGCCGACAGGTGCGCCAGCAACTACCACGCCTGGTCGCACCGCCAGTGGATCCTGCAGAGCGGTCCCTGCCTCCTGCAGTCGGAGCTTCTGCGCACGGAGAAGTTCATGCGCAAGCACATCAGCGACTACAGCTGCTACCACTACCGCCAGGTGCTGCTGGGCCGCGCCTTCGAGCTCAACTTCGCTTTGCCCAGCGATTGCGGAGCCAGTAGTGGCCCATCGCCGCTGGCCAGTCTGCAGCAATTGCTGGCCAACTATGGCCTAAAGTGCGAGCCCCAGGCCGAGGAGCTGCTGGAGCTGCTGCTGCCGCTTGTGGATCGCAGTTCGGTGAGCAGCCAAAGGCTGAGATCATTCCTCTACTGCTGCAACGTGGCCGCCAGCGATATGCGGCTGTGTGCCGAGCAGCGGCTGATGTACGGACCGCGGGACTGCTTCGAGCTGCATCGCCGGGCGGCCCTCAAGTTCATCGTGGAGCAGTGCGTGCGCCTGCAACTGGGCCTGACCGGCGGTCAGCCCCTGCATTTGGGCAGCTTCGACTTCGAAAAGCATCCCTTTCTGGGCGCCGTGCGACGCGAGGAATCCTCGCTGGGCGGCAAGCACCGGCGCTGGTGCAATCTCCACCTGAGCTTCGGCTATCCGGCCGACTAGACAGCGGGACCTGAAAACCTTGAGAGAAAGCTCAAATCAATCTACACCAATAGGATTACTCACTCTGGGCCTCTTTCCGTTTTCCATCCGTTTGCAAGCTTAGATTTCGTAGGATTTTAATTATCTTTGCTACAAATGAGAGATTATTTCTTGAAAAGTATTTGTAATTTTAACATTTCTAAATTACAATCCAAATTTTGTTAACCGCTATTGAATTAGAAGACGATTTAAAACGGTTTTGGAAACGGAAAGGGTTATCTATCTATATACTCTATATATGTGCGCCCCAAAGACAAAGTTCAACTAGCCCGATATGACGAAGGACCTACTGGTCCACCAATTGCATTTCGATATCTGTTAGCATTAGCTGTTCGATTCTTGTTAGCCCTATGTTCAGAAGTACGATTTAACCAATTACCGCCATGCCATGCACGTGTTTGTTGTTAGCCAATTTGCAGTTAGTTTTTAAATAAATCCAACCAATAGAAGACCAAGGTGGCATCTTAATGGGTGGTTGAGTGTTTCCTATCACTACTATTTTGACCGCAGCTGTATATTTTTACGATTTATGGTTACTTTTTCTTTTTTTTTTGTTCTTCCTTAAAAAAAGTCCTAAAGTTATTCTGATTATGGGGATCGAAAGTTAAAGAGTGTCACTTTTAGAATACTTTAACAGCAAAACAAACCATGCATCCGTTTGCATGTGATACCCCCAGAAAGTTGGCCAACCTCAGCATTTTCGAATTTTGAGGTTCTTCTGCTAATTCGTAACGAATTTAAATTTATCCATTGAAGGTACATTTTTGATGTATTATAAATCTATTAACATTTTTGGTACGTGGTATATTTATTGAGATCTCTTTAACAAAATCAATTAAAACTGCATTCTCAGTTTGAAGAAATCGATTTCTTAATAGCAGAAATGCCCACTTCAAAATGCATCATATAGGGGTTTGTTTTTCCGAAGATGGTAATATCGCATGGTATCGTTTTTGTGGCGGTGCAGCCAACCCCTCCCCAAATTCCCCACTCGTCTGGGGGCTTTCGTTTTCAGGGGGACCAGTGCGCATGTCAGGGATGCGAGATGCGAGATGCTGTCGAAGGCCCGAGATGACAACAATTTCAGCAGCGGACTCAGAATCGCCAGCCCGTAATCCCTGCCAGCTTTTCAGTGTGTTTCTGGAGCAGTTCGCGTGCGGCGGTGTTTTTGTGCTGTGTTGAAAGGCTAAAAGTGCTGGCTTGCTTAGAGGTTTACAAACAGTTTTTTTTTTCGACCCGATCCGAAACGAAAGAAGTGCATATAAGTTCTCCGAAAACTTGCAAGTAATTAAAGAGGTTTATTTTTTGTGAGCTTGGTTTCTGCCTGGGAATATGTATGGATGTTTTTTACAGTTTTTTTTTTGAAGAGAACCTTGTGAGTGGGTGTGCTGGTTAATGTGGGTGCTCTACTGTGCTTCTGTCTTTGTTTGGTTTTTAAAATATTCATATACGTTTTTCATCGGTCCTCTTTGCATTTCTTATCTCCCACCACCCCCCGTTCCACCTTTTTTCTACCCCCTAGGGGCGTGGGCCCAAAACTGCGCCTCAATCGGAGTTTGTGTCGTGGGTGTGAGGTGTTTAGGGTGCTTTGGGGTGTTTGAGGTGTTCGGGGTGCTTTGGGTGGTAGTGGCAAGTCTGTTTATGAGTTGATTATGAGCTGCAAACTGGTGTGCCATTGTCTTCGGGCCCTGTGTCCCTCCTCCAAGGACCCCCGATCTCGTCCTGACCTGGGATATATACTTGGATATACGCCCACTTCGCCGCTCCGGAATACCTGACCCTGGGGCTCTTTGCCTGCACATGTGTAGATAACTCAAAATGGACACACCTGATGATTTTGTGTGAGTGTGTGCGAAATTCCTTTGGCCATGGGAGCTACACTCGCGGCTGTAATAATAGCAGCTCCGGGTAATTGGCATAAGCGGATTAGGCCCAAGGTGAACTAAATGGCCATCAAAGGCCTGCAGCTGACCAAGTCAGTTAGCTGGAATTTTGGGTTAAGCGGTTTTAAAAGGGGTTAGCTGGAAATTTTAAAAGGAGTATTCATTATTATAATCTCTTAAAAAAAAAGCTAAGTGCTTCTCAGAAGAATAAAGTAGTGTATTTCCGTTATGACAACTATTGTTTCGACCTCAAGTGCCAGTGGGAATGTGCCAGAATGTCGTGGGTAACGGTAACGGTAACGTAATGTATGTGTGCGTCTAGCCCCATGGCCCACATAGGTATGCAATGCATGTGCGCCCAGCGGATGTGTGCGTGTGTGTGTTTGGGTGACAGTTTTCAGCTGCAGGTGACAACTGAACAAGCTACCGATAGATGGCGACACCTCATTCGATACCCCAGGACTTTTTCATTTCCTGTCTCCACTTTGCAGGCATTCCGCTGCATCGCAACTGTATTTGCATTGCAACATATTCTTAACCATATATCGTATATACATATATCAACGGATTCAGCGGGGGGCGTGGCAGGGCGACGGCGGCGGACAATGAACCCGCCCACGCAGCAAGGACAATAACTTGAGACCGGATTGGAATGGGATGTGGATGTCAGCGGAGGAGCAGCATGAGTTCGCCCCTTTGGAGCGATGCCAATTGTGGAATCGCAGCGGCCCCAGAATTAGAATCAAAATCCACAGTCAAAACCAAATCCAAATCCACATAACTCCATTGCGATAAGTTTCGATAGTTTGGCAATAATCGCCGGAAATGGGCAGTCTGCCGAATCTTCACGAGCTGGAGGAGGCGGAGCGCAAGCGGGAGAAGCGCCGGGAGTACGAACTTTTGCTGGAGCAGCGGGCCCGCGACACCAGTCGGGAGCGGGAGCGACTCTCTGCTTTCGCTCAGCAGCGCAAGGTAAGTTGGCTATCGATAACTAAACTGTCGATCAAATCGATAATTACAGTAAAGCCTAATTAAAGCTATGATCACAGAAGAATAGTCTTTAGCTAAGTTAAATAGGGATTATATACCTTGTATCACCCCCTCAGCAATCCTCGTATAATGCTTACATAATGGCTGGCCTGGGGATCGGCGGAGGAGGATCCCTGAGCCTCAATGCAGCCGGAGGAGGAACAGCCGCCGGAAACGGAGAGCTGCCCAGTGGCAATGGAACGAATGCCGGAAAGTCGCAGACCCCAGGGCTGGGCACAGGATCTGGGCTGGCCACCAGTTCGGGTGCTCCGGTGGCCAGCGGTGGCTTTGCTTTGCTGGGCCTGGGCAAGAAGTATGCCCCACACTCGCACCACCATCAGCACCAGCATCAGCACCACCAGCACCATCAGCACCGCCATTCGCTGACCACCAGGCACCGAGTGCTCCGCACGCGCAGCTCTGGAGGAGCCCAGAACGTCTGGGACGAGCAGATGATGGAGGTGAGTAGAAAATCAAATAGAACAAAAGATGTATAAATATCAGATAGATGACGGTCAACCGATTTTTTCAAATCGGGCTGCTCAGTAGAAAATTGGGATCTGGATTTTTGGTAAAAAATTGAATTTTTTTTTTTGGTTTTTTTTCTGTAACTTGACCAAAAATGGTCCTGCACTAAAACTACATACTGTTTTGAACAGATAACAAAATTTGCAATAAATCCATAAAACTTTCCGTGTGATTTTGGAAAAATAAATGATGATTTTTTTCGAAAAATTAAAAATAAATAAATTGTCAAGGTTTAAATGCCAATCGTTAGGAAATTTAATAACGAGTTCAGAAAGGTATGACAATCCATACTTTGAATCAGTATTTGCTTTGTTATAGCGAAAAAACTGCAACGTTTTAGCGAAAAAACGGGTTTGGTTTTTTTTGGAACTTCGCGATTTCAGTTTTTGACAAAAATTGGAATTTTTTCTTTTGGTTTTTTTGCTGTAACTTGGCCACAAATGGTCCTACACCAAAAATTCATACTGTTTTGAACAGATAACAAAATTTGCTATAAATCCATAAAACTTTCCGTGTCATTTTGGAAAAATAAAATTTTCGCCAATTTTTAATTTTTTTATAAGGGGGTACCCCATGATTTTTTGCGAAAAATTAAAAATGAATAAATTGTCAAGGTTTAAATGCCAATCGTTAGGAAATTTAATAACGAGTTCAGAAAGGTATGACAATCCATACTTTGAATCAGTATTTGCTTTGTTATAGCGAAAAAACTGCAACGTTTTAGCGAAAAAACGGGTTTGGTTTTTTTTTGGAAATTCGCGATTTCAGTTTTTGACAAAAATTGGAATTTTTTCTTTTGGTTTTTTTGCTGTAACTTGGCCAAAAATGGTCATACACCAAAAATTCATACTGTTTTGAACAGATAACAAAATTTGCTATAAATCCATAAAACTTTCCGTGTCATTTTGGAAAAATAAAATTTTCGCCAATTTTTAATTTTTTTATGAGGGGGTACCCCATGATTTTTTGTGAAAAATTAAAAATGAATAAATTGTCAAGGTTTAAATGCCAATCGTTAGGAAATTTAATAACGAGTTCAGAAAGGTATGACAATCCATACTTTGAATCAGTATTTGCTTTGTTATAGCGAAAAAACTGCAACGTTTTAGCGAAAAAACGGGTTTGGTTTTTTTTTGGAAATTCGCGATTTCAATTTTTGACAAAAATTGGAATTTTTTCTTTTGGTTTTTTTGCTGTAACTTGGCCAAAAATGGTCCTACACCAAAAATTCATACTGTTTTGAACAGATAACAAAATTTGCTATAAATCCATAAAACTTTCCGTGTCATTTTGGAAAAATAAAATTTTCGCCAATTTTTAATTTTTTTATAAGGGGGTACCCCATGATTTTTTGCGAAAAATTAAAAATGAATAAATTGTCAAGGTTTAAATGCCAATCGTTAGGAAATTTAATAACGAGTTCAGAAAGGTATGACAATCCATACTTTGGATCAGTATTTGCTTTGTTATAGCAAAAAAACTGCAACGTTTTAGCGAAAAAACGGGTTTGGTTTTTTTTTGGAAATTCGCGATTTCAGTTTTTGAAAAAAATTGGAATTTTTTCTTTTGGTTTTTTTGCTGTAACTTGGCCAAAAATGGTCCTACACCAAAAATTCATACTGTTTTGAACAGATAACAAAATTTGCTATAAATCCATAAAACTTTCCGTGTAATTTTGGAAAAATAAAATTTTCGTCAATTTTAAATTTTTTTATAAGGGGGCATGATTTTTTTCGAAAAATTAAAAACGAATAAAATGTCTAGGTTTAAATGCCAATCGAAAGGAAATTTAATAACGAGTTCAGAAAGGTATGACAATCCATATTTGGATCAATATTTCCATTGCTGCGGTAAAAAACGAATTATTTTTGTGTGGATAGGCATTTCATAGGACATATAGTTGAAACTATAAAGAATATTGTTTTGAAATTCATCATATTTTTTCCCTGTGTGCTGCCAAGGGCACTTGTCACTTATTAATAGAATCAGAGTGCAGCTCACTTTTTTGCCTTGGACACTTGACCATCTTGCGGCTCAATGTCGACAAGGGAGGTGGTCTGTGGTGGTCAGTGGATGGGTGGTTAATGGGCAGATGTCAGAGCTTGCAAATGGATTATCTTTCCCAGTTGCACAACAAGTAATTAAGTGGAACCTGGCTGGCATTTCCCTTTGCTATTCCCGTTCCCTTGAAAGCCCAAGGTTGCTGGCTGCAGCGCCATTATCCTGATTTAATCCCTGAATCCCTGTTGATTCCTGGAAGCTGTGACTTCTCCTCGAGGTCATTAAGTTGATTCCTGGTAGAGGATGCCACCCCTTACGTATTTAACTACGCACAAAAAAAGCAAATAACACATATCGTTTTTACATGAAATACTCTTTTCGACCAGTTCAAATTTACCTGGCCGCATATCAAATTAAAATTGATTTTAAATAATGTAAAATCGATATACATTTTTTTTGGGTGTACTACCCAGAACCCCATAGTAATTTCCATATATAATATATCTCTTTTCAGCAGCACCTGGCCACATACTCGCCGTCGCCCATTTCGACCCGTTCGCACCGCATCAACCCGGTGTCCTCGTACCAGGTGCAGGCTGCCCTGGCGGCCTCGCGTCGCCGGGAGTCGATCAACAGCTCCATCGGGGCCACCTCCATCCGGCGCCTGATCACGCTGAACAACCGGAACTGCCGCCACAAGGTGCCGGCCCATGTGCGCCAGAAGGTGTGGCGCCAGTTCAGCTGCCTGAGCCTCGCCCACGGCCTGATGAACTGCGTCCTGCTGCCGGTGATGGCGCTGCAGGGCTCCAATGCGGTCTGGCACCACCGCGAGCAGTGGCTGCCGCTGGGCCCCGAGATCGGATCGCTGCTCCTGAGCGCCCTCTTCCTGGTGGCCGCCGGCATGAGCCTGCCCAGCATTCGGCTGATGAAGCGCTACGGCTGCGGGCCGCTCCTGGTGGCCAACTATCTGGCGGTGGTGCTCTTCCTCCTGTCGCACCTGTACGCCTCCATTTACACCCTGCTGCCGGCCTACCTGCTGCTGGGGGTGACCTTGAGCGGATCGGCAGGCTGTAAGGCGGCCCTGATTGTCCACTTTGGCGGCAAGCTGAGCTGCTCCTGCGAATCGCAGCAGTCGCAGGCGGCCGTGGATGTGCTGCACGAGGAGCACAAGATGTTCTGCAATCGGGATCAGAAGGTGAGGCGGTTGGCCAGATGGTTCCGGGTCTCGCAGGACCTGGGACTCATCGCGGGAGCCCTGCTCGCCTCCATTCTGCTGGCCTGCAGCGATGGCGACTTCACGGGCGATTGCTCCGGCCTGGTCTACTACGGCAACGAGAGCTGGCCGCCGCAGCTGAGGGACTTCTACAATAGGAACGAGCACGGGGACCGGATCTGCGGGGCGGACATGTGCCCGCTGCGGGTGCAATCCCTTTTGGCCGGCGGCTGGGCCAATGGCAGCTCCATACCCAGCTCCATTTACGCGGGATTCATCGAGAGCGAGCCGCGGGTGGCTGGGCAGTCGCTTCTCTGGCTTTATGTTCTCTTCGCGGTGATGTCCTTGGTCCTGTCGCTGGTGATACTGCTGGACAAGGTCCAGGCCACGGGCTCCTCGCGACCGGAACGCCTGCGGGATGTGAGCATCACGGACACGCTGCTCTTCGCCGGTCCGCTGGCCTATTTCGTGGGCACCGAACAGGCCTACATGCTGGGCGACTTCCTGCGGGCCTTCGTCACCTGCTCCCTGGGCATTGGAATGATTGCGGGCGCCCTGATCGGAATGGGTCTCATGCAGCTCATCGTTTCCTGCACCCTGAGCATGCTGCTGCGGCACGTCAAGCGGATCGTCGTGATATGTGAGTGATTACTAAGCTATATCATATATGAGTGATATCAAAATGATATCTAATTTTTATGACACTATCACACCATTTAAAGAAAAAATCCATTTGATAGAAGCGAAGATATGGCGATGCTATTTTTTTTTGTTTATTTAATTTATAATATTAAATTACGTGGGGTAAAAAATAAATAAAAATACCCACAAATTATTATTTTTGCCAAGCTTTCAGATAAAAATAATTCCCATCCCATAATGATCTTTATAAGAAAATTGTATAGTATATATGTACAATTGTGATACATTTCCCCTCTCCTAGTGGCCGGCTTCTTCTTTCATTCCTGCCTGCTGTTGGCCCTGTCCAGCTGGAAGCCCTCGAGCGACGACAGCGCCCTGTTCTACGTGATCGCCGCCTCGTGGGGCGCCTGCAATGGGATGTGGGAGACGCTGCTGCTCTCGCTGGTGACCCTCAACCATGCCGGCCATGTGACCGAGGTCCAGGCCCCTCTGCTGGCCCTCCGGTTCCTCGGACTCGGGCTGACCTTCGCCGGGCACGGCTTCCTCTGCGAGTCGATGAAGATCATTGCGCTGGTGGTGCTCCTGGTGATCAGTGTGCCGCCCTACGCCACCCTGGAGATCCGATTGGAGGCGCAGCGCAAGGCCACGCTGGTCAGCTTATGACGCAGCATCTTCAGCTAGTCCCGACGCCTGCGACGGGATGTCGTGGCCCGGACGCACACCATGTGACATGTTCCCGATACGGACACCGATACGGACACGGTGTCATATCCGCGGCCAGATCTCCTCCAATCGCAACCCGTCAGTATTGAACAAGAACGAGAACGAGAGACCCAAGTCAAGCGACGCAGGCTACACTACAAGTTCTGCGGCCAGAAGTCGAGGGATGCGGACAGGGATACGGACAGGGATACGGTATAGGTATCTCTGGACTTCTGTCCGCGGGCCTAGAGGTTAAGACTAGTTCATAAGATCGATCTATACCCATGTGCGGGGGGTTTCCTTCTCTCTAAATGGGTGCATTCTCAATTCGTAGCATTTGCCAGTGCCAGTAATGTTGTTCCATGTCTATAACTTATCTATCAAATAGAGAGAGCGAGAGAGCGAGAGAAAGAGAGAGGGAGAAGAGCTTTATGAGCCACAATAAGCATGTAATGTAGCATGTAGAACGTTATCTATGTACGAGTATATCCGATCTGAGACGATACGATATCAATTGCTGTATCTACATATGTATTTTGACCAAAGAGGGTTTTTGTGTGTGTTTCGCAAAGCAAACTAATATTACCTTCGAAGTTCGAACTCCAATTTGCAATTCCCAAACCGAACCGATCCGATCCGGTCCAGAAATAATGTTGTGTATGTTATGTATGTGTTTTATCGGTGTTATGTGCGTTATATAGGTTTCGAGACCCTCCACTTTCACCTAACCATAGGTATACGGCATACCCATCCCGATTCAGATTCCAATTCAGATTCAGATTCAGATTCAGATAAAGCTAGCTGCAGCTAAGGCTAACTGTTATGATAACAAGGTGAAATCCTAAGGTCTAAGGTCTAAAAACAACAATGTTAACATTTTGAGAATTTTGAGAGTAACCATTTTGTGACCGTTGGCGATTTCATGCATCGGGCTAAGTATTACTAGTATGTTGCTAGCCATATACTATATATACACATAGACATACTATATATTTTTTTCTTAGCGGCGGTTCCATCTGAATATTGAATAAAGCGAATCGCAAACGTGTTAAACCGGGGAGACGCAAAGTCGAAAAAACGATAAGATCGAGTTCTACGTGTATTGGATGTGTATTGTATATTGTAGGTGTCCATCTCCAGATCTAATAAAGAATCCAAAACAAGTGTATTGTGGTTTCGGTTCGACTTGGGTTCTACTTAGCACTGAAGCAATTAAAACGTCTCGGGTCTTATGGTTTAATTACAAACAACTGGATTCATTTGTGCGGTTTGGGTCTAAAGCTTTTGGCCTGAAGCTTTTTCTCTCGCCGATCGGAGCGTGAACAATGACCATATATTCTATGAGCTTGTTAGCTTTATCAATTGGTGTACTTAGCTAAGTTATTTGCTTAGTTAGTGCCTTTTTGCGGCCCCAGAGAGACGCGTCCGTTGGTGCCCATGGATAAGGATACGGATAAAGATAGGGACTCCGCCTACAAGCCAACATCCCCATCCGCCGAATGGAGCGACAAGCTGGCGGAGCTGGTCGCCTGGTTCGAGGGCAACCCCAATCTGCCCGAAAAGATCGGTAAGTAGCCACCAAACCGGGAGAATGGAGCCCAAATGGCTTTCGGGTTTCGCTTCAATTGATAACCAGTCGAGTGCGAGACAGAATTAATGGGCGCGCAATAACCTGATATGGTTTACGATCCATTAACCTTGTAACTGGACAGTGGCAAAGGTCAAGTATCTCTAGAGATATAGAGAGAGTATCTAACATAATATTCCTTGGATTATTTAGGGTTTTTATAATTTTCTATACTTTCTTCTCCCCCTTAGAACCAATAGTTATGCTACGATTCCTCAAGTGCATGGCGTTCGATGTGAAACGTACCAAATCTCTGGTGGAACTCAACTATAGTATGCGGAATAAGCATCCCCATCTGTTTATGGATCGCAATATGGAGGATGAGATGACGGCCAAGGGCCTGAGGGTTTCGTAAGTTAAGGATACAGTACTTAATAGCATATAATATATTCCCCCTTTCAGGGACCTTCTGATTTTACCCGGAGTTACGCCCCAGGGCAACAAGCTGCTCTTCTTCCGGATGGCCGATCTGGATCCACAAACGGTGGGTATTCTACCTTCGAAATTATTTTCATTCCATAAGTAAACTCCCTATTTTCATAGCGAAACTCCGTGGAAGAGACCAAAATCTTCTTTATGATGAGCGATGCGAGATTCACTATGCCGGATGTGGAGCGGAAAAACGGAACCGGAGAGGATTACGTACTGGACGAAGCGGATATTGCGCAAGGCGATGTTCAGATCGTGGATATCGAGGGCTATACTATACGCCACCTGGCCTACGTCTCGATTTTCGTGTTGCGCATCTACATGAAGTTCCTGCAGGAGGCCTATCCCTCCCGTTTGCAGGCCATGCATGTCATCAACTGCCCCTCGTATCTGGACAGGCTCATCTCGATGATGTCCCCCTTCCTGAGGGAAGAGGTTCGCAATATGGTAACACTTAATTTATCCCTTATTTTTTACTCTTTCTAATGAAATCGATCTGCAGATCAAGTACCACACCGAGGGCCTGGAGAGCCTCTATAAGGAAGTGCCCCGGGACATGTTGCCGGAGGAGTATGGTGGAAAGGCTGGTTCCATAGCGGAACTCAAGGCCCGAGGCGTTCAGTCTATCAAGGACAAAAGGTAAGTTACGAATATCTTGGCTAGAAAGGCCCATTGATACCTTGTTTTTATCTTGATATAGTGCCTACCTGAGCGATGAGCGTTACTGGAAAGTGGCATCCCAAAGCAAGAGTCGCTGGTCGTGGTTCTGATCCTCCGATCTTCTGATAACTTCCACGTGATATATTTTCAAATGTGATCCAAAAAAAAGCGCGCCTTGCCAAAAGGGTTCCCAAGTGTGAAGCTGCCCTTAATGAAGAATTTCTAAATAATTGCAGATTTTATTATATTCTTAGCATTTAGGTTAAGTACCATTTTTTTTCTATTTACTATTAAAAAAAGGGGCTACTGTCGATTTGTAAGCAGCAATGTGGGCAATATACTTGATATACCAATAAATTATATTAATTGCATTTTATGAGATTTTATTACACCCAAACGTGGCTTGACTTTTTAATGGACTGTTTTCTTTTTGTAAGTAAAAAAGTAATTCCTGGCACAAAAAGATTTTTTTTTTTAAACACACAATAATATTTATTTTTTATCTAGAATTAGAAAGTAACGTTTTTGGCAATATTTTTAAAGCCATTGCTCACGAGTGAAAAGACCCCTTTTCTTTATTTTTCAAATGAAGCTAAACTTGTGTCATTTCTGACTACGGAATTTGGATGCGGCACACGACCAGGTGATTAGGCAGATCCAGAAGCTGGGACGGAACGTATTTAGGCACTATTAAGCGTCGGCCAAACGACGGCCCAAAAGCAATTATGAAATTACGTGTTTTTAATCGCAGACGCAATAGCATTGAATATTCAAAAACTAAATCGATGAGCGAAATCGATGCGAGTGGCAGAGTCAGTTGTTTGCCAGGCCTCAAGTCCGGCGGTTCAACGGTTTCAAAAGCGATTCGAAAGAGTGATTTTCGAAAGCGATTCGAAAGCGATAGCTGCGTCCGATAGCCGATAGGAACACCTGGTGCGAGAGAACAGAGAGGCAAGGCAATCGATAGGCCAAAGCACCAATGAGCCGCACAAGTGGGAAAGAGACGGAGGCGAGCGGTACGGCGGAACAACTGCAGCGGGAAAGCGGTACGGCGGAACAGCTGCAACGGAAACGAGAACGCGATTTGAAGGACCTGCTCGAGTGGTTCCAGCAAAATGACAAGCTGCCCAAGGAGATTGGTAAGCGAAGGGCCCAGCTGGGCCATGAGGGAATCTCACATCCGTTCTGCGAGCTAAGACCCCCCACTGCCCACCCAAAACACCCATCCGAAACTCCCGCTAATGAGGTCGTTAGTAGGCCGCCCCACTCGCCGCCTTACGTCACTGCAATGCAGTGTCTATAAACAAAAGACGATACAGTCAAGCCACCCTAAGTCCAACTTGCCGTAAAAAGTTTAAAGTTTAATATCAAAGTGATATTTCCGAACATATAATTTTGTACCATATTGATATGAAATCATACCATTTTGTTATGGAAAAATTGATATGAAAGAATATCAGTTCCATATTGTTCCGTTTTCCGTTCACTTAAACCAAAAAAAAAAATCGATATAAAACGTAGATCGATTTTACATTACTTAAGATCAATTTTAATTGTAAATGTCAAAACGATATGTGTTTTGCATCGATTTTACGGAAACATGTTTTTTTTTGTGTGTAGGTAAATTTAACTGCATTAACTATAATATCCTTATGTATTTTTACAGAACCCTTGCTGCTCCGGCGTTTTTACCAGTGCATGTTTGGGGACTTGGTGGAGACCCAGAATCTCATAGAGGTCAACTATGCCCTGCGCAACCGACATCCGCACCTGTTTATCAAGAGAGATCCTCTGGACGCGGACAGCAAGCGCACCTTTGACTACGCGTGAGTGTCTATATTTTCGTATATATGATATAGAATATATTTATAATTTGTTCTACCTATTTTAGGGACATTCTACCGCTACCGGGCTTAACGCCGGACAAATGCAAGGTGTCGCTGTACTGTTTCCGGGAGTTTGAGGCCACCAAGGTGAGTGATACTTCGACTGTGGTTTGGAATCCTTTCCTCCAGTTCCAAATCCCATCCGCAGATGCATCACACGGAGGACACGCGCGCCTTCTTCATGGTCAGCGATTGTCGTTTTGCGATGCCGGACGATCCCGAGAACCCGGAGATTTTATCCGAAGGAGAGGTGCAGATTTTCGACATGAAGGGCACTACAATGCGGCACATTTCGCGACTGACGATCAGCACGCTGCGCGCCTACATCAAGTTCCTCCAGCTGGCATATCCCGTGCGCCTGCGCGCCATCCACATGATCAACTGTCCATCGTACTTGGATCGCATCGTCAGCGTGGTGAAGCCCTTCATCAGCGAAGAGGTCTTCAAGCTGGTAAGCTTTGTTAGGGAACCCTGATGTCATTTAAAATTAAATTTTTTTCTGATATCGCTACAATTATTTTCTATTTTTCAGATCCGCTTTCACACGGTGAGCGTGGAAACCTTGTATGAGTTTGTGCCGCGGAAGATGCTGCCCGAGGAATACGGCGGAGATGCCGGTTCCTTGGAGACACTGCGGACCCAGACCCAAAAGGCCTTGGTTGAGCATCGGTGGGTTTACTATCTGCAAGTCAGGTCCAGTTAGTAACGCCCCATTGCCTTTTTATAGCGACTATCTGATGGACCCCAGGCACTGGGTGGTGGAGAAACCGGAGAAGCGTAACGGCAGCTCGTGGAGATTTTTCAAATGATCGACGAGGGCATAATCGCCTGGTATTTTTTTTTTCGTACCGTTGTGAAACAGTTGGAATTAGTATTGATGTACAGTTCAATTTCTGTGGCACCCAGGATAGACTTAATATATGTGCCTGTGTATGTAAATGGTTCCTGTGGCATTTCGTCTCTTAAATAAAGCTCATATTGTAATTATTTAAGTTAATTTGTATTTTGAAAATGGTCATGGAAATGGAAAAAAATATAAACGTTACTTATTTTTTAGTCTCGATCTGAAATAGCTCAAAGTATTTATTTTGGGAGATATATAAATATTATATTTAATAACTTTTGGCTAAGAAATATGTTCAAAATTTTAGCTACTTTTTAGGGAAACGCATATTTCACACTTGCAAAAAGTGTAATGCGAGGCAGTGGAAACACGATAGGCGACGAAACTATCGGAGCACGCCAATCGTTATCGCAACACATTATTGGTGGCATTATTTATTTTTGCGATCTAAGTTAATTTAGTGATTTACTAGTTAGTTCGAGGAGCAAGCACAACAGACTTCAGCCATGGAGCGGCCCCAGAAGATGCCCAAGGTGGCCAAGGTGAGTGCGAACGTCCGCATCATGGTAAACCCCCTAATCCAATTGCAATTCCAATCCCGAAACTCAACCAGGTGAAGAACAAGGCGCCGGCGGAGGTGCAGATCACGGCGGAGCAGCTGCTCCGGGAGGCCAAGGAGCGCGACCTGGAGATCCTGCCGCCGCCGCCGAAGCAGAAGATCTCCGATCCCGCCGAGCTGGCCGACTACCAGCAGCGCAAGCGCAAGACCTTCGAGGACAATCTGCGCAAGAACCGCATGGTGGTCAGCCACTGGATCAAGTACGCCCAGTGGGAGGAGCAGCAGCAGGAGATCCAGCGGGCGCGCTCCATCTGGGAGCGGGCGCTGGACAACGAGCACCGCAACGTCACGCTCTGGCTGAAGTACGCCGAAATGGAGATGAAGAACAAGCAGGTCAACCATGCGCGCAATCTGTGGGATCGGGCGGTGACCATTATGCCGCGCGTCAACCAGTTCTGGTACAAGTACACCTACATGGAGGAGATGCTGGAGAACGTGGCCGGGGCGCGCCAGGTGTTCGAACGCTGGATGGAGTGGCAGCCGGAAGAGCAGGCGTGGCAAACCTATGTTAACTTTGAGCTGCGCTACAAGGAGATCGACCGGGCGCGCGAGGTCTACGAGCGGTTCGTCTACGTGCATCCGGACGTCAAGAACTGGATCAAGTTCGCCCGCTTCGAGGAGTCGCATGGGTTTATCCATGGCTCGCGGCGAGTGTTTGAACGGGCGGTGGAGTTCTTCGGCGACGAGTACATCGAGGAGCGGCTGTTCATCGCCTTTGCCCGCTTCGAGGAGGGCCAGAAGGAGCACGACCGGGCGCGCATCATCTACAAGTACGCGCTGGACCACCTGGCCAAGGAGCGCACCCAGGAGCTGTTCAAGGCCTACACGATACACGAGAAGAAGTACGGCGACCGGGCGGGCATCGAGGATGTGATCGTGTCCAAGCGCAAGTACCAGTACGAGCAGGAGGTGGCCGCCAATCCGACGAACTACGACGCCTGGTTCGACTATCTGCGCCTGATCGAGGCGGAGGGCGAGCGCGATCAGATCCGCGAGACCTACGAACGGGCCATCTCGAATGTGCCGCCGGCAAATGAGAAGAACTTTTGGCGTCGCTACATCTATCTGTGGATCAACTACGCTTTGTATGAGGAACTGGAGGCCGAGGATGCCGAGCGCACGCGACAGATATACAAGACCTGCCTGGAGCTGATACCGCACAAGCAGTTCACCTTCAGCAAGCTGTGGCTGCTCTACGCTCAGTTCGAGATCCGCTGCAAGGAGCTGCAGCGGGCACGCAAGGCCCTCGGTTTGGCCATCGGCATGTGTCCGCGGGACAAGCTCTTCCGGGGCTACATCGATCTGGAGATCCAGCTGCGCGAGTTCGAGCGCTGCCGCCTGCTGTACGAGAAGTTCCTGGAGTTTGGGCCCGAGAACTGCGTCACCTGGATGAAGTTCGCCGAGCTGGAGAACCTCCTCGGCGACACGGAGCGTGCCAGGGCCATTTTCGAGCTGGCCGTGCAGCAGTCGCGTCTGGATATGCCCGAGCTGCTGTGGAAGGCGTACATTGACTTCGAGGTGGCCCTGGGCGAAACGGAGCTGGCCCGGCAGCTGTACGAGCGCCTGCTGGAGCGCACGCAGCACGTGAAGGTCTGGATGTCGTTCGCCAAGTTCGAGATGGGCCTGAGCCACGGCGACAGCGGGCAGGATGCCGAGCTGAACGTGCGACTGGCGAGGCGGATTTACGAGCGGGCCAACGAGATGCTGCGCCAGCTGGGCGACAAGGAGTCGCGGGTGCTGCTGCTCGAGGCTTGGCGCGACTTCGAGCGCGACGCCGCCGATGCGGTGGCCCTGCAGCGGGTGATGGACAAGATGCCGCGGCGCATCAAGAAACGGCAGAAGATCGTCTCCGACGAGGGCGTCGAGGAGGGCTGGGAGGAGGTCTTCGACTACATCTTCCCCGAGGACGAGATGGCGCGGCCCAATCTCAAGCTGCTGGCCGCCGCCAAGATGTGGAAGAAGCAGAAGGACGTCACGGAGGAGGAAGAACCTGTTCCAGTACCTGCCGCTGATCCTGGCCAGTCCGAGACGACGGCTGGCGGGGATTGACCCGAAAGTAGCTATTCCATTTCGCATTGAAGTCTTTTCGCGAAGGCCACCCCAAAATCACAAGGAATAAACCAATTAAATAAGACCAGGATGACATTTTAAAATCGCATTTTATTTTAGTAACGTTTTTACTATTTTTTTGAACAGTGTGCTAATAACATGTCTAAAAGTGTGAAGATATTTATTTTAAAGTTATAGTATTGTAATTTCTACATCATTCTAGCACTCTAGTATATTGAACATTTGAGCAGGGACCGTAACAGTTATAAGTTTTACTTTAAATCAAGCATTGCTTCCTTTTGCCCTTAAGAATTCGCGGTCTCATTGTGTTGATGATTCGTTCAATTGGTTAGCAAAAAAATAGACAAACAATTTTTGTTACGATGGTCAATATTTGTTCCTCTTGCCCTAAAGAATTCGCGGTGTCGTTGTTTTAAAGAATTCATGTATTTTAAAAGTCTGATATAAGAGTTACTTCATGACCAATTTTAAAAAAGTTACAAATTTTTAGGTCATTGCGAATATGAATTGTGGCCTATTAAATTGGCTTTACGATTTTTTTCTCAAATTTTTAGTGGTTTCGATTAAAAATAATAAAATAACTGTTATTTTCGGTCCCTGCATTTGAGTCTAAGACCCTATTATAATTTTCCGAGGGTTCTGTAAGTCCCATCCCACACTTTATATCATCCATCTCGGCTTACTTGGCCCTCAGCAAAAGCGTGAAAGCGGAGTAGGTGAACCTCATGACCTGGAATCAAGCACATCCATCAACTATATATAATAATAATAATGTAAAGTATTACCTGCTCGAAGGTCTCCAGCGAGAGGGCGATGTAGTTCCCGGCGAAGATGAGCGAAGGACGCTGGGTCCTGGCCAGCGTGAAGAGCAATTCCCGCTTGAACTTGGGCAGCTGGTCCACCCAGTTGCAGGCGTAGAAGGCATCGCACAGCGCCTCGCTCTGCGTCCGCATCCGATCCCCAAAGAAGCAGATGACAAAGACCTCGAGAGTAACGGCCGTGAAGAAGACGATCGAGATGATCATGGCGGTGAGATCGTGGTCGTCGGCCATGTAGAGGAAGTGCATGGCCACGGTGCACTGGACGGCGGCGGAGCAGGCGAACTGGGCCATGCAGGGCACCGCCAGGATGCGCTGGATGATCCTCCTCAGCCGATGGACCCGCCTCAGGTCGCGGATGCACTCGATTAGCTGCTCGTAGCTCTGCTCCTGCCACACCTCGTAGTCCCCCGGAAAGTGCTCCCTATCCCTGGCATCCCTGTACCCAATCCGACGCACCCTTAACTCCAAAGCACGCATGTGACCCGTGAGCAGGCAGAGAAAGGCCGGCGGATACGAGTCACTCGCACAGTTCTGGATGGCCTGCACGGCCAGGCCGAACAACTGGTAGATATTGATGAGCACATAGTTCCTGGTCGAGTGCATCCAGTCCAGGCCGAACCAGGCCGGGTACAGGAGCTCCCGATCCGGCCGAATGATTACCCTAATGCAGCTCAAAGTAGTGCCGAAGACAAAAATCCAGCCGAAGGTGCGGAAGCTGCCCTGGGCAATGTCCACCTCCCTGCGCAGGGCGGCCAGCTCCTCGGGATCGCCCACCCGCCTGGCCCGGTCATCCATCCGGCGCAGGAGCGACCTAATCTCGTAGAGCTGCGACCGCACCAGATACACGTTCGCAAACTTCAAATTGGCCACGATATCCGTGATGGTGATGGTCAGATTCTCGCAAATTCCGGCCAGATTGGTGGTGAACAAGAGCCTGGCCAGGAGGCTCAGGGGAAACAGCAGGGTGACCACCAGATTGATCGTTACGGAGTACAGTCGGTAGGCCCATCGGCTAATCCCCCTGGGACGCATCAGCCCAGTGAGCTCCCAGACGCGCCAGTGGTAGTAGACAGCACTGTGGGTGTCCAGTTTGGGTTCCTCCATGATCTAGTTTACTTTTGACCCAAGCCAAAGTGTCCCTTGGTATTTATACTCCTGTGATTACCTGTGATTGCGCCATTATTGAGCCAACTTTTTGGCTAAGTGGCTGGGAAACGTAACCATTGGCCCAGGTAATGATCCCCCAGAAAAAAAGTTTTCACCGGGCCATTTGTTTTTGTTGGAAATCTCTCTCTTTATTCTGCAGTATTCTTCATTCTGGCTGGGAAATGGGGAGTGGGGGTTGTGTGTGTTTGTATCAACTAACGGTTACGGCCCCAAAACACCCGACAAGCGAGGTCAAAGTGCCTTGTTTTAAACTATTTAGTCTTAATAATCCCCTATTTCACTTCGTCATTTAGCTACCTGAGGGTTAAGTGCTTCTCCTCGCTGATTACATGAACGCCGCTACTTTAACTCCAATTAGGAGGTTAACCTAACCGGAGGTTAATAAATTGTGCCTTAGAATTACTCTTCTCACGTCAAGTTATTGCTAATTGAGGGTTTGCTGTTAACTGATTTGTTTTGTATGGAAATCGGTGCTACTCTAACGGCCATCGATGGGTTTAAACTTTAAAGTGAGCGTTAACTTTAACCAAGTTTCTCAAATCCAAGGTTTGAAAACGGGTGCTATTTTAGAGTTTATACAATGGGCCCTACAATTATGTTCTGGCTACTTTGAGGTTACTTGTCAGGTGCTTTCGGATCCCCAAAATCTAGAGCACTATTAATCTACTATCGGTAGGGAGCGAGGGGAAGAGGGGTGCGGGGTCAAAGGTCAGGGGTCGGGAAAAGAACACAAAAACAAATCCGTAGATGCACACCATCGAGAACACGTTCACAGAGTGATCTTAATTTGTAGTTTTTAAGAATTAATTTAAAAATACAATCAAGTTGTGTAATCCAAGGCTTACAGAGTGATTTTTGCCCGGGTGCTTGGAATCTCCGGTCTCTCCGATCCGATCCAATAATGTTGTAATAATGTATCAAGCACCCGGGCAGCGAATAAGAAATATTAATAATATATATCGCAATATATATATATATATGTGGCTAGGGGTTTATAATAATGTGTACAAATAATCGATATTGCTGCAGCTTAGAATTGAAGTTGAAAAGTGGTTTTTCGAATAAGGAAACTGTTACGTTACGGTTACATTTCAATACTCTACTTTACGTTACGGTCACAATTAACAATCATCGTTAGACAAGTGATTCGTTATTATTCATTATCGTAATCTTCATCTTTATCATTAGACTTTTTCCCGCATGATCATCGCTGGGTTTCAGTTTGGATTCTGTTTCAATATTATCGTTATTAAGCTCAGTTCTCAGTCGCAAAAGCATCGTGTGACAAAAGCAGGCCGTGTATATCCGATATCGAGTCGGGGTCTTGAGTTCAATACGTCTCCAATTGTCAGACTCTTGCTCTTGCTCGCTTTTCTCTGTTTTAGTTTTAGTTTTAGCTTTAGTTTTAAATTGCTCTCTTTGCTTTACGGTCTAGTTTGAGTTTTAGTTTTAGTTTTAGCTTTAGTTTAATTTTCTGTTCTGTTCTGTGAGTCGACCTGATCTTGATTCGGTTTGATTCGATTTGATTCGGTATTGGGTTTCGGTTGCATTGGCTGCCTAGGGATTTGGAATTGTTTCGTCTTTAGCGCCTTCGGCCTGAGGGGCGGCGCTCTGATTTGAAATTGCGTTTTTGTCTTTGTCTGACTTGGCATCCTGCAAAAGAAATACGAGTATTGCCAACGTGTTTCAAAAGCGATTTTTCGATAGTGTAAGTAGAGCTCTCAGATCTGTTTTCAAGTGCATTTTGCGAATTTCTCAAGGAAACCCGCAAAATAGCCTTGGTCAAATCAAATATATATTAAAAATGGTTCAACTTCCTCAGTTTTAGAAGTTGGACTATAATTATTGGCGGTTTAGAATGTAATATATTGGAATACTGAGGCTCGTTTAAGAAAGAATATTTAATATTTATAGATCAATTAAGGATATTCAGATACTAAGAGTGCATTTAATGGCTGCCACTTGGGAAGTATAAAAATAAATAATAGTTTATAAAAAAGGTAATACAAAGTGGAAGCCATGTATGCATTTTATCTTTAAATTTTAGAAGGTAATACTTTGTAAATGCAATCTATATATACAAACAGATGTTCTCTTTTGCGGATTTACTGTGGTGCCAAGGGAACCGAAGGGTCGGAACCTGCTGCTTCAGGACTCCGGGCTAAAGGGATGCAGTGCAGCAGGTTGCGGCTTTTCCTCCTACCTGGCGTACGCATCAAAGGGGCGGGGCTCTTGGGGATTTGGGGTTTGCGGATCAGGGTTGCAAATCGATTGCAGTTCGAGCGTGTAATCGATGTGCAACCCTGGATGGGACACCTATTCAAGGAGTTTTTAAGGGACTGACTCGGGGAATGCTCTATATGCTCACCTTGGCCTTCACGCTGGCCGCCTCCTGCTTGAGATACTCCTCCCGTGCCGCCTCGTAGAGACCCACAAACTTGTCGCGCTGTCCCTTGTACTGGCCAAAGAGTTCGTCATCCTTGTGGCCCTTCAGCCGGTTCTCGATATCCACCTTCTTGTCGTGCTCGCTGCGGATCTCGTCCGTCACCCAGGGCTTGTCGATGGGGTACTGGTTGATCAGGTTCTTCAGCGTCTTGATGCTGCTCTTTCCCTTCAGCGCCTGCTTGATCAGCTTGGGATTGGGCTTCGTGATCCGGCCGCCGTTCATGCTCATTGGCCCGCCGAAGGGTGGTCCACCGGGTGGCATGCCGCGCGGCGGCATCCGTGGGCCCATCATGTGCATGGGCGGTGGGCCACCCATCATGGGACCACCCGGACCAGGACCGGGTCCATTGCGTCGCATGAAGTGCGGTGGCGGCGGTGGCCCGCCCATGGGTCCCATGGGCCCCGGACCCCGCATCCCCGGCATCGGCGGCTGGAAAGGCATCTGCGGGTAGGGTCCTCCGGGACCCATGGGTCCACGTGGTCCGCACGGGCCCATGGGACCCATGGGCGGACCCATGGGCGGACCCATCATGTGCCGTCCAGGCGGTCGGTTCGGCGGCGGTCCGCGCTGAAATCCATTGAAGCCGCCGCGATTCAGGTTGGGATTCGGGTTGCCCGGAAAGCGCTGCCAGTCGTTGCCGCCTCCATTCATCTGGTTGTTGAAGGGCTGCTGCTGCTGCTGCTGGCCGGGATTGGGATTAGGATACTGCTGCTGCTGCTGCTTGATGCCCTTCATGGGCTTCTTCTTCAGGCCGTCGCCCTGGTTCTGCTTTTGGTTTCCCGGCGCCGGACTGTTGAAGTCTATGTAGAGGGGATCGCTGGGCATCTGGCTGGAGGAGAACATCATCTGGTTGTTGCTCCCGTTTCCATTTCCATTCCCATTTCCGTTTCCATTCCCATTTCCATTGCCATTCCCTCCCGGACGGAAGGGTTTCCTGTAGGGAGCTGCCGCTGCCCGGGGATTATTGATGTTGCTGTTCTGGCTGTTGCGCTGCTGTTGCGGATGCTGCTGCTGCTGCTGTTGCGGATACTGCTGCTGCTGCTGCATTTGCTGCGGGTGCTGCTGCTGCTGCTGCGACTGCATCTGCATGGCCCGGTTCGGCTGGAATTGGTTCTTGGACACCATTGCGGGGGGCGGGTCAGGATCCAAGGAAACAGAACGGCAAAGGACTAATTACACACTTATTATGCTAAAGAAAAAATAACTCAATAGAAAAAACGATCCGATTCCAGTGCCGTCAAACCGATTACACTGTAGTAGCGATAGTCGCTGGCGATGACAGCGATTGTGGAACAGGTGTGATGTGATGTTTCCACCTCGCAGGCACATATCGATAGGCCTGTTATCGGAGCTGCACGTGTGATTTCAATGTTTACTATTTTTTTTGTGTTAAATAAACATTAATATTATTACTCTGATAATATTAAACTAAATAGCCATGGGCAAGAAGGTGCACAATGCCAGGGCGCGGCAGAATCCAGAGACCATTGTGGACAACTCGGCCGTGAAGAAGGTGGGAATCGCCTCCCTCACCAATCGAAATCCAAATTCGAATCTAAATTCAAATCCCAATCTCCCACAGATCCAGATCGATGTGGATGCAGTGGCCGGCGGCAGTGGGCCAGGCTACGACGAGGCCAACGCCCTGGTGCTGCCCTCCGAGAAGCGGGCCACCAAGATCCGGGTGGACAAGGTGCAGCACGTGAAGATCCTCACCAAGAAGCAGCGCAAGCACCTCCAGGCGATTGTGGACAAGAAGAAGAAGAAGGAGGGCGTAGGTGTCTCTAATTTCTATTTAATTACCTCCTTATCAAACCAAATACCTTGATTTTCAGCGCGCCCAGCTGCTGGGCGACCTGGCCGCCGTGCAAATCCCGGAGGCGGAGCTGCAGCAGTACACATCCATCAGCCAGGTGCAGACGGTGGGCCTCAAGCGTCTGCCCACTTTGGACGAGTACCTGGCCAAGAAGCAGGAGCGGCAGACTCAAGCCCTGGCCGAAAAGAGCTCGGGGCACCGCGTGAATGCCATCAAGGGCTCCAAGCGCAAGCTGCTCGCCGAGGAGGAGGAGGAGCTGGAGGCCAAGCGCAGGAATCCGAATGTGATTAGTTTGGAGGAGGAAGAATCCTCCGATGACTCCTCCGATGAGGAGACGCCTGCAGCACCAGTTCCTCCTGCCATTCCCACGCCAGTAACTGCTGTGCCGCCGCAAATCAAAGTGAATCCCCCTAAAGAGAAGCCCAAAGCAGAGCCTGCTCCACCCGCCTGCCTTCATCAGACGGTCTACGTGCCCGTACATCGCTCCGCGGAGGTCCAGGAGGCTCGCCTGCGTCTGCCCATTCTCGCAGAGGAGCAGCAGGTGATGGAGACCATCAACGAGAACCCGATTGTGATTGTGGCCGGCGAAACGGGCTCCGGCAAGACCACCCAGCTGCCGCAGTTCCTCTACGAGGCAGGCTATGCCCAGCACAAGATGATCGGAGTGACGGAGCCGCGGCGCGTGGCCGCCATTGCCATGTCCAAGCGGGTGGCCCACGAGATGAATCTGCCGGAGAGCGAGGTGTCCTACCTCATTCGCTTCGAGGGCAACGTCACCCCGGCCACGCGCATCAAGTTCATGACCGACGGCGTGCTGCTCAAGGAGATCGAAACGGACTTCCTGCTCAGCAAGTACTCGGTGATCATTCTCGACGAGGCGCACGAGCGCAGCGTCTACACGGATATCCTGGTGGGGCTGCTCTCGCGCATCGTTCCGCTGCGACACAAGCGCGGCCAGCCACTGAAGCTGATCATCATGTCCGCCACGCTGCGAGTGACCGATTTCACGGAGAACACGCGGCTCTTCAGGACTCCGCCGCCGCTGCTCAAAGTGGAGGCGCGACAGTTTCCTGTGACGATTCACTTCCAGAAGCGCACGCCGGATGACTATGTGGCCGAGGCCTATCGCAAGACTCTGAAGATCCACAACCAGCTGCCCGAGGGCGGCATCCTGATCTTTGTCACCGGCCAGCAGGAGGTCAACCAGCTGGTGCGCAAGCTGCGACGCACGTTTCCCTACCATCCGGCGGATAAGGAAGCTAAGGAGGCCAGTGAGGTGACTCCAGAGGCGGAAGAAACGAAGGATGAGCCGGCTGAGGATCCCAAGGAGCTGGAGTTCGACATGAAGCGGGTGATACGCAACATTCGCAAGTCGAAGAAGAAGTTTCTGGCCCAGATCGCCCTGCCCAAGATCAACCTGGACGACTACAAGCTGCCCGGCGACGATACAGAGGCGGATATGCATGAGGAGCAGGATGAGGAGCTGGAATTAGATGGTGAAGAAGACGAAGAGGATGAAATGGACTCCGAAATAACCTCCAACCCGAGGCAACCCCTCTGGGTGCTGCCCCTCTACTCGCTGCTCTCCTCGGACAAGCAGAACCGCATCTTCCAGCCCGTTCCCGCCGGCTGTCGGCTGTGCGTGGTCAGCACCAATGTGGCCGAGACCTCGCTCACCATTCCGCACATCAAGTATGTGGTGGACAGCGGGCGCCAGAAGACCCGTCTCTACGACAAGCTCACCGGCGTGAGTGCCTTTGTGGTGACCTATACGTCCAAGGCCTCGGCGGATCAGCGAGCTGGAAGAGCTGGTCGCATCAGTGCCGGTCATTGCTATCGCCTCTACTCGAGTGCTGTGTACAACGACTGCTTCGAGGACTTCTCGCAGCCGGACATCCAAAAGAAACCCGTCGAGGATCTGATGCTGCAGATGCGCTGCATGGGCATCGATCGAGTGGTGCACTTCCCGTTTCCCTCGCCACCGGATGAGGTGCAGCTGCAGGCCGCCGAGCGGCGACTGACGGTGCTGGGTGCCCTAGAGGCGACTAAGTCGGAGAAGAGCGACCTTCCGCCTGCCGTCACCCGTTTGGGTCAGGTCATCTCCCGCTTCCCCGTGGCGCCGCGCTTCGGCAAGATGCTGGCCTTGTCCCATCAGCAGAACCTGCTGCCCTACACCGTCTGCCTGGTGGCCGCCCTCTCCGTCCAGGAGGTGCTCATCGAGACGGGTGTGCAGCGGCAGGAGGATGTGGCGCCCGGCGCCAATCGCTTCCACCGCAAACGGCAGAGTTGGGCATCCAGCGGCAACTACCAGCTGCTCGGCGATCCCATGGTTCTGCTGCGCGCCGTCGGAGCAGCCGAGTACGCCGGTTCGCAGGGTCGCCTGCCGGAGTTCTGCGACGCGAACGGATTGCGCCAGAAGGCGATGAGCGAGGTGCGCAAACTGCGCGTCCAGCTGACCAACGAGATCAATCTGAATGTGAGCGACGTGGAGCTGGGCGTGGATCCCGAACTGAAGCCTCCCTCGGATGCCCAGGCGCGGTTCCTTCGGCAAATCCTTCTAGCCGGCATGGGCGATAGGGTCGCCAGGAAGGTGCCCCTGGCCGATATCGCCGACAAGGAGGAGCGGCGGCGCCTGAAGTACGCCTACCACTGTGCCGACATGGAGGAGCCGGCCTTCCTGCACGTCTCCTCGGTGCTGCGCCAAAAGACACCCGAGTGGGTGGTCTACCAGGAGGCCTACGAGCTGCAGAACGGCGACTCCACCAAGATGTTTATCCGTGGTATCACTGCTATTGAACCGGAGTGGCTGCTTCTCTACGTTCCGCTGCTTTGCAATATACGCGAGGTGCGCGAGGATCCTGCTCCCAGATTCGATGAGTCTTCTGGCAAGATCTACTGCCATGTGGACGCCACGTTCGGCAAGTCCGGCTGGGAGCTGCCGCTCGGCGAGGTGGAGATGCCCATCAGCGAGAAGGCCTGCTGGTAAGTGTCCATTTCCCTTTTTATACCCTTGCCGAGGGTATTATGATTTCAGTCAGAAGTTTGCAACGCAGTGTTTGTCCGTTAGTCTGTCCGTTTCTACGCAAACTAGTCTCTCAGTTTTAAAGCTATCGGGATGAAACTTTCCCAAAAGACTTATTTCTATTGCTGGTAGTATATAAGTCGGAACTGGCCGGATCGGACAACTATATCTTATAGCTCTTATGGGAAATATCGGAAAAATAATCGAAAATTTTTTTTTGTTTTTTTACATATAACCTCCTACTTTTGAGAATAACAGTATTTTGATTATTCTGAATTTCGAATTGAATTTTATAAAAATCAGAACGATCGAAATTAATTGAAAAGAAATTATAGCTCCGTTGGTTTATATCACTGTGCAACATTTTTAGGGTTATAAAATGTAACCGCAATTCTGATTTCATGGGCGGAAAGAACTCATCGAAATAAGCTAAAACCCATTTGGGTTTCTCTGGCTTAGTTCGCGTTTACCTATTATAGCGAGTTAAAGTTTTACATACAAAATTTATTTGTAACGGCCATATCTTGTGAACCGATTAAAATTTCACTATCAAGTCTTCAGTGATTATGTAGCTATGAACTCAAGGAACTAAATTGACAAATGACTCTTGCGAAGACGTACACCTAGCGCGTTAAAAATCGAAAAATTAGGCAAATTTGTTTTTTAACGCGCTAGGTGCACTAGGTGCTAAGTGCGCAAGAGTCATTTGTCAATTTAGTTCCTTGGTTTCATAGCTATATAATCACTGAAGACTTGATAGTGAAATTTTAAGCGGTTCAGAAGATATGGCCGTTACAAATAAATTTTGTATGTAAAACTTTAACTCGCTATAAAAGGTAAACGCGAGCTAAGCCAGAGAAACCTAAATGGGTTTTAGCTTATTTCGATGAATTCTTTCCGCCTATGAAATCAGAATTGCGGTTACATTTTCCATGTTGCACTGTGTATTCTATTCTTTCTACTCTAGAATATGATTCATTTTTAATATTTCAGAATTTCGAATTAAATTTAACAACAATCCATAGGAAGGAAAGAACAAATAATACGAAACTGAACATTTTGTAATTTGTAATGATCTGCAAGGGTATATAAGTTTCGGCTGGCCGAAGCTATCTTTCTTTCTTGTTATTTATAAATGATGTAATTAAATGATTGCCTTTTTAGTTACTTTGGAATGTTCCTGCTGGAGGGCCAGGTTTTCTCCAGGCTGGCTCCCTTCCGGGGCAAACTGAAGTCCACGCCCGCCTCCGTCATCAAGAGCTGGTCGAGCATGAACGACAAGGTGCTGCGCTTCAAGCGGGCGCTCATCACCAAGCAGATCCACAGCCGCCAGGCGCTGCTGGACCAGTGGACAAGCGATCCTCACTGTAGGTTTATTGTATATTATATTATTATATATATTTTATTTTATTTATTATTGCAGTCCTCTTGGAGGAGTACCAGAATCTGCTCTACGACGTGGCCCTCAGCGAACTGACGCCTCTGTGGCCACCAGTGGATAAGGAGGAACCTCTAGCCCAGTCAAAAAGCTAGTTAACAGCGGGCTTCTTTTTGTATAACAAGTTTCATTTATTATTTATTTAATTGATATATATTTATATAATTCTTTATGTATAATATAAATATGAAATTTGTTTTAAATGGAACTAAAAAAAATGGAGTGGAAGTGGAGTGAGGGGGAATAAAAATGTTTTTGTTAACAGCTAAGTTTCGATAAATGTTTAATACAATCCATATATGTACATAGAAATAATCAATATTCATTGTATTTTGTATTTGTTTGTTGTTTGTTGTCTGTTGGTTTTCTCTCTTGGTAATCAATCGTAGGTTAATCCTTCAGCTGGCGGTGAGAAATCAGCATTTACACCTGTGTTTATGAGAGAGATTTGGCTAATTGGGCATGTGGCTATATAGTGGGCATCTGCCTTGGTTATATACGCTTCGAACGGAACGATCGGATTCGGATTGGCCGACAAACTGTAGCTTTGTTCGCTTAGCTTCGCTCTTCCCCATATGTACATGTAAATCGCTAGTTGGGATTGGGATTAGGACTCCGTTTGCTGCAGCTCCTCTCCTCGAATGCATCCTCCATACGTCTACAAATGTGTGTGTAGAAAAAATCAGTCTAATATATTAAGGCAACGTGAGAGCTTTACATGTCGTCATTCCACTTGATCCTCGTCCCCATCCTCATCCTCATCCTTATCATCCTCTTAATCATCTAGGAATTGTGTGTAATATCTTAGTTTTGTAACTTGAATCCTGTCCGAAGTTCGCTTATCGCTTAGGCTAATTTTATGCGGGACTCTTGTATCATTTGTGTACTCTTTAACAATCAATTTTGGTATGTTTTGTGTCTGTGTGTTATGTTCTTGTGTGTGGGGCTCGTTAACTTTAACTTTAAACTAATTTGCGTTAAATATACATTTATAAATTCTTTAGGTTCGCTTAATATTTCTGTATTGGCTAGCAAGAGGAGAAAGAACAAAATAGGTAATGTTTGAGAAGCATTTGGTTTTCCGTTTCCGTTTCCGTGTTATACAATTCGCAAGTTACAACAATTAGTTAGATATTTATCTTAAGATCGATCTCCTATCTCCTGTCCAAAAACTCTGCTCTCGATTTGCGCTCTGTTTTTTTTGTTTTTCCTATATACTGAGTATAATCTATAACTTGTAATTAATACTAAAAATTGAATTCTTTTTTTGTTTTTTCTTGTCTGAATTATTGTAGTTTGCTCCTAATCCCTATGCATACACTAAACGCAGTCGTTTTATAAACTTTACTTTGATTTCTTGGAAGTGTTCTCATTTGTTGTTGTTCCTGGCCAGGATATATGGTTATATGGAAATGGAAATGGGCCACACGGAAGCCCTCTGTAATCTCTATCTCCGTAACTCTGCTCTCTGCTGATATGTATTACAAGTTGGTGGTGCCATCTCCATGTCCACCTGGGTGTGAGTCCCTGTTTGCTTGGCAAACAAATGCAAATCTATGTGAAGGCAGCTCCATCGTTCGCTATCCTTCAGACCGTTGTCCCCGTCTCGCTGGCTGGCTCCTCGGAGGGAAGTTCAGGGGTCTTCCCTGGATCGACTGCCTCCTCCTCCTCCTCTTCTTGGCTGAGGGAAGGGGAGCTTGGGGAGCTGGCCTCGGCAGGAGCGGGACTGCAGGGAGCTGGCTGCTCCTCGGGCTTGGAAACGGTCACCTCCTCCAGCTGTGCTTGCTCTTCGGGACTCTCAATCTCCTCCTGCTGCTGCTGCTGCTCCTTTTCCGCCTCCTCTTCACCTTCATTGGCAGTGACTGTGGCTGGGACCTCCTCCTCGGTTACCTCCGTCTCGTCTGCGGGCGCCTCTTGCTGCTGCTGCTGCTGGACGGCGTCGTCCAGTTTCTGGAGCAGCTCTGGCGACAGCTCACCCATGTCGTAGAGCCGTCGCTTGTTATTGTCCAGGATTATCTCCTTCCACATGCTCACCAGCCTGGTGAAGTTGGTCAGGTCGCCAGGATCGTCGTGTGGCAGGGGAATGGAGCGCGTGGACGAGGTGTCCTCGTCCTCGGAACTGCTGCTGCTCACCGCCCGGATCTTGGCCTTGTGCGTCGCCTTGGAGGCGTCGCTAGTCGACGGTCTGATCGCGGGCAGGCCACCCAGACTCAGCTGGATCTTGTACTCGTGGAACTCGCGCTGGATGGAGCTGCGCCGCGAGTTGGCCATCTCCTCGTTGCTGCCCATTATCTGGTTGTATTCCCGCAGGCCCAGCTCCTCCACGGGCACGTAGTGCTCGCCGATCTCCACCAGATACACGTAGCGGTTGACGTGCGAGCGGAAGCGCATGTCCTTGTGGTTGGGCGTCCAGCAGTGGACCACGTGGCCCACCATCCCGGCACTGGGCTCCCAGTCCTTCCACGACAGCCGGCCGCCATTGTTGCGCATGCGTTCGGTGGGCCACACGACGGCATCGATGATGTCCAGGCAGTCGTAGATCTGTTTGGAATTATATATATTTTATTATTATTATTATTACAGTTAAAGATTTTCTTTTTATACCCGTTACTCGTAGTGTAAAAGGGTATATTATATTCGTGTCAAAGTATGTAACAGTTAGAAGGAGGCGACCCCATAAAGTATATATATGAACGATGAGATCTCGGAAACTACAAAAGCTGGAAGGTTGAGATTTCCCACACATATTCTTGGGCTTCCTACGCAGCGTAAGTTTATTTCAGCCGAGCGCCACGCCCCCTCTAACGCCCACTAACGATGTTAAAATGTGTCTGGTGCCCACACCTTCAAAGATTTCCAAGAAGTATAATATATTTTGTTGTGTCTATTTATACCTATCGAAATGTAGAAGACATTTTTCAAATCGGACCATTTGTTAAAATGTTATGCGCAATTAAAGTTTTATATATCCATCTCCCTCGCACTCCCTTTAGCCGAGTGACAGGTATTAGATAGTCGGGACACCAACCCGACTATAGCGTTCTCTCTCGTTCTTTCTATTTAATTTACTCACCCCCGTGTCGTCCACTATGATGACCTTCTTCAGGATCTCGATGCGCGGCTTCCTGATGACGGCGCCTCCTCCTCCACCGGATCCTGCTACCGTTCCCGATCCTGCGGGCTTTCCCTCTCCTCCCGCCTCCACGGAGGTCAGGCAAATCGGTCCCTTGGTCTTCCGCGGATAATCTCCTGGCGTGGTGATGATGTTGCCCAGGCCCACGCCCATTCCCAGGCCCAGACTGCCGGACGAAGAGGAGAGCTTGGTGCTACGCGGACTGGGCTCGTGCTCCACCTGCGTTTGGGGCGTGGCCAGATCCTTGACAGACTCGCCACCAGCTCCTCCGCTGGCAATGGGCAGGGTGGCCCGTCGCTCGTGATCCCTGCCCCGACTGCTGCCCATCTCCGGTCTTCGACTGCGCACGCCGCCACTGCTCGTGGCTCTGGTGGCTCCACCACTGGCTGCTCCTCCTCCTCCTCCTCCAGATCCAGAGCTTTCCTGATCCCGCTCCCTGTTCAGCAGTCCAGCAATCAGAGTGGTGGACGTGGGCTTCACGGGCATCACGGCCAAACCTCCGCGGACCACCGCCAGGCTGTCGCTCACATAGCTGCCGCCCAGATTGGCGGCCATCCCACCGCCGGGAACATTTCCCGGCCGCACGTTGTAGTAGCTGTTGACGGTGAGCGTGTTGTAGAGCGGCGCCGAGATGAAGACGGGCGCCAGGTCGCCTGATTCGCCGCCTGTGCTGCTGGCGGTGCCGGGAGCCACTCCCACTCCCAGCCCGGAACCCGCAGAGGCACCCACTCCGGTGGCCGTGGAGCCGGCGCCCACGACGCTGCCGCCGCTGCCAAAGTTGCAGGCGCCCAGCTGCACGGGTCCAGCGCCTGGATGCGCTTCCATTGCAGATCCCGAGCTGCAGCCCTGCCGGCAGCGCTCGCGGATGCGGTGCCACCAGCCCAGCACCGTCTGCCTAATGGTGTCCAGTGTGATGGCGCCGCCAATCACCTCGCACAGCTGGGCATTCGTATCCGCATAGGAAGTGGTCAAAGGCGACACGTAGATGGGATAACCAATCGGCTGATCGCAGCTGGAGTTGATGATGTTGCGCAGCGCCTGCTTGGCGTTCTGGATGCTGCCCCTCTCGGGATTCCTGTTGCGCAGGTAGATCAGCTCCTGCTGCTGCCCAGCCCACAAACCGCGGACGCACTCGCGATTCAATTTGATCACCCGGAAGCTGAGGCATCGCTTGGTCAGCCGGATGATGCGGTACTCATCCGACCCGTCCTCCATCACGTGGCGCAGGGCCAGCAGATTGGGTGCTCCGCGCAGCACGGCGCTCCGCCAGACGGGATCGGCCTCGTGCGAGATGACCAGCTCGTTGGAGCAGTTGTCGATGGCATCGTACAGGGCATGCGGATCGAGGAACTCGTCGGGATTGGTGATGTGGTCCTGCTGCAGCTTGAGGGCCATCTTGACGGCGGGCGCCACCACGGAATGCAGCAGCTCCATGTCCGCAAAGACCCATTCGTCGCGCGGCGAGGTGATGCGGAAATCGCCCTTGAACAAGGCGTGCAGGCCGTGCAGGAAGAACTCCACGCCGGTCAGCGAGCTGTGCGAGGCGGTGGCCAGGGATCGGCGGGCCAGGAGGCCCAAGGCCAGGCAGAGGGACACCAGCGGCGCCTCCTTGCCCACGCTGGCCAGCTTCAGCCGCAGCGCGGGCTTCTCCTGGCTCTCCTTTCGTCCGGCCGGAGCTCCTGCTGCCGTGCTACTCTTGGCCAGCTTAACGAACACATTCTGATCCATGTAGGTCACATAGCCACCCAAACCAGGAGCACTCTCCGATGTTTGCCGGGATATGTTGGCGAAGCTGTGCGAGCTGCTCAGCTGCTGATCTCCGCCAACGGTGGTTGGGCCTCCTCCTCCGCCTCCTGCGGGATTAGCAACTGATCCGGCAGCTCCTGCTGCTCCCACGCTCTCCTGGCCCGCACTCTTCGGCGGACGCCGCAACTGCTGCTGCGACTGGGACTTGGATTGGCCCGAGGCCGCTCCAGAAGATCCCCCGTGCGCCGAGAGATTGGGCGTGCTCTTCGAGTCATTGTGGGCGGGCGTAACCGGTGGCGGCGGCGGAGCAGCTGCAGCCGCAGATGCCGGGGCAGAGGAAGCTCCCCCAGAGGCAGGAGCTCCCATGGAGGCAGCCGCATCCCTTCGCATGTCCACGCAGTAGTTGATCCATTTGAGGTACACGTAGCAGAAGCTGGAGCGCGTGATGCCCACGGCCCGGAAGTCAAAGTCCTCGTCCAGATTGAAGTTGAATATGGGATCCAGATCGACGAACTGGCGGCTCAGCGTGTGCTGCAGGGCGTCCTGGATGGGACCGGAGGCCAGCCACTGCTCCAGCTTGGGGTTCTTCACCACATAGTAGATGATGCTCTGGCGTAGAAGATTTAGGGATTAGCATGTGTTAAAAACATGGAAAATGATATTTTACAGTGTGATTAAAATTTTTGATATGTGTGTGAAAAACAAAAGTGTTAAAATGTGAAAAATAATTGTTAACACACACAGCTCACTGTGATTTTTACACACTGTGCTTTTAACACAAATGAAAATTACATTTCACAGACATTAATATTTTATATGTTAGTTGTAACCATTTCAAAGCATATATGAATTCTTATACTCTAGATAACCATGCATTTTTCAGTTCAACATAAAATTCTACACTTTAATGTCAAAAACTTATTGTGTTAAAAACACGCTGTGTAAAAAACTCGTGGTGTTAATAAAACGTCGTGTAAATAAGACATGTAGGATACAATTTTTTAAACACAAAGCAATACTTTGACATTTAACATGTTAATAACACAAGTTGTTTGTAGTGCGTGTTATTTTCCGAGTAAAGAAAGAAATGCTCACCTTGATGTAGTAGGTGATGAGCACCTTGCGGTACTCAAACACCTGCAGCGTGGCACTGGCCAGGTTGTCCGAAATGGAGTAGCCCTCGATGACGTACTGGGCGGCGACCACCTGCCAGGCCAGCCACCTGGTGGAGAACATGGCGTTGGCGCTGAGCAGGCGCGGCAGGTGCCCCGGATCGCAGCAGCAGCAGCCGTCGTTGTCCTCCACGTCCTCGGTGATGGCCTCCACCTCGCGCTGCTGGCAGTAGGTGCCCCGGAACTCCAGGCCGCGCATCTGAAAGGTGCAGAGTCCATTCCCCAGCTCGATGATGTGCACCAAACAGTTGAGATCGTCGGAGGCGAGAACTGCAACAGTATCAGGTAAGTTATCTATTCTAATGAGAAGCAAAGTATTGTGTTACCAAAGCAATCTCCCTGGTTGACATTCCCCCAGCGACCCATCAGCAGATCCCCGCACAGCGAGTGCTGCAGGGAGCGCGTGAGGTGCTCGTAGAAGATGCTGTTCAGGTTGTTGTCGTCCGCCCCCAAATCGCGCTCCAGCTGCGAGCTGAGCCGCGTGTTCGAGTGGTCGATGCGGCGCGTGTTGTAGTCCCGCTCCCAGAACTTGATGGGCCGCACGTAGGATGTCAGGAAGATGGCGCTGCCCAGGAAGGGATTCAGCGGGGTGGAGAGCAGGGCCGAGATGCCCGCCTGCAGGAAGAGCATCGCCGAGTGGGGCACACTAAACGGCTGGGCGAAGGCGTGGAAGGCGGAGCCCCAGGTGATTTGCCACGGCGCAATGTAGGTTACAATGAATTGGAGCTATAAGGATAATGATTAGCATTGGAATGGTAGATGGTAATGGTAGATTTCCTCACCTTTAGCAGAAAGTCACAGCACTTGCGAAAGGCCAAGGATACAAAGAAGTAGTCTATGATGAAGGTCTCCGTGGCCATGGCAAAGTCAATGCGGAACAGCAATACCGTGAAGATGATGATCAGGTACTGGTTGGTCGGATCCGAGTAGGCGTTTCTCACAACTGCAGGAGGAGAATCCCGATTGGAATGGTCATGAAAATGAGAGAGATGGCAGATAAATTATAGTGACCATTTATAACCAGTAACCCTCCAAATTACTCACACTTTAAAGCACAAATGGCCACGATGAGGGTGCCCCAGGGCAGTCCGAACTTGCCGACAATTAGCTGCGCGTCCGCCGTCAGCGAGGAGATGGCCAGCAGCGGAAAGAGCACGTTCCGCTCGAGGACACTCAGGTAAATGTAGAGCTTCTCGAACCACATGATCTTCGGTGCGTTGAGCACCTCAAACTGGCCGAATTCGCGCTGCCGGAGCAGCGGACGAGCGAAGCACAGCCAGGGCATGTGCTTCCTCATTTGCGGCACGATGTAGTGCAGCAGGAGGCCCAGAACGCCAATGAACGAGTACAGCACCACATTGAGATCCGGCTGCAGGGCGGTGAAGACGGTGCTGCAGTGCAGACCCAGCACGCTGACCGCCAGCAGGGTCATCACCACCAGGTCGTTCTTCAGCCGCGTGGTCACCGTGGCCTGCAGTTTGCGTGGCAGCGGATCGGGGAGATCACTGCTAGTCGTTGCATTTCCTTTTGCATTTCCACTGCTGTTTTCACTGGCCTCGGTGGTTCCCGTTCCCTGCTGCTGCTGCTGCTGCTTCTCCTCAGCAGGCGCCTCCGCATCCTCCTCCAGGCAGGCTGCGCCCGCTCCCGCCGTCAGCGTGGACATGTCGCCGGGATTCGTGGCCGATGAGCTGGAGATCTTGTCCTCGCTCTCATCGGCTGCCTTGGCTGCCTGGTCGTAGGCCTCCGTTAATTCCTGCTTGCTCGGCTCCTCGCTGGCTAGCTGATCTCCTTGCTGATCCTCCTCAGTGGCCACTGGTTCTTCGGCTGCTCCTCCTATCGAGGTGCACGAACTGGAGGCTCTCTTGCTGCTGCCGATCGTCTTGGCCAGCGTCTGCTGGCTGCTGCCCAGGGAAGAGGCCTTCGACTTGCTGTGCTGCTTCTGCTGGAGCGGCAGTTCGTGCTCCTCCAGTGGATCCTCCGCTCCCTGCTCCCTCTCCTCGTTGGCGGTTAGTTTCTCCAGCGAGCTCAGCTCGATCTGCTCCTGCTGCTCCGTCTTTAAATCCGCCTGCTGCCTGCGCTGCTTCGGCGTGCTGGTGGTTAGCTGGAGGGCAGTACTATTACCTCCTCCCGGTGCGTTAACCTGACTGAGATCCTCGTCCTCGTCGTCCCGATACGTGCTCACTATGCAGGTCTTGATCAGCCGCCACAGGTGGCTGAAGTCGCTGGCGCAGCGGGAGAGGTGGTAGCCGAGGGGCACCAGCATGGCGCAGAAGATGGAGAACAGGATGTACTGGGTGCCGCGCTGCTCGTCCAAAGCTCCGTAGAGCGGTCCGTAGAGCAACATTACGGCCAGCACCGATCGCAGCACGCACAAAAAGGAACCTGAAAAAGGAACAAGCATTAGAATCAGGGTTCGAAAAATAAGACTGTGAAAAACTTTTGTTATTAACATGTTAAATGTCAAAGTGTTAAGTTTTTTGACATGTGTGTAAAAAATTGAAGCTTACATATGTTAGAAACATAATGTTTTTTACACAACGTGTTTTTTACACAATGAGTTTTTGACATTAAAACGTCAAAAATATATGTTGAACTGAAAAATTCACGGTTTTCTTTAGTTTAAAAAATGCATATATGCTTTGAAACGGTTAAAAATAACAATTAAGATATCCTAGTCCAATATCGATTCTTCATGTTCCCTTCGATTCGATAAAATGTAATTTTTATTTGTGTTAAAAACACAGTGTGTAAAAAACACGTCGTGTTAATAACACATTGTGTAAAAAACACTTTTGTTTTTGACACAGATGTGAAAAACTTTGCTCACACTGTAAAATACAATTTGACATGTTTTTAACATGTGTGTTAAATTCCGAATTAGAGAATTAGAGGGCTACTCACCCAGCAGACTGCTCGCCGCATTGCCGCCAAAGACATGCATATCGATCTGCTCCAGCAGGTACATGAGGAACGTGTTGATCTGCGGGCACAGGCCCACCGAGAAGATGATGGGAAAGCAGAGCAGCAGGATGTAGAGCGCGTGCAGCAGCAGGGCCACCACGTCGGCGGGCGAGTAGCGCAGCCCGAAAAAGGTCACAGGATCTGGAGGCCTTTCCCCGTAGTCCGTGTCCAGGCGCTTGAGCAGCAGCAGCAACCCTCCGCCCAGGCAGAAGTAGATGGCCCGCGAATAGGCCACCGTCTTGTTGAATCCATGCACAGGCGACGCCGCATCCGGCTGCACGCTCTTCACCAGCGAGTACTGCGCCCCGGCGATCACCGCGCAGAAGAGCAGGGCGCACAGATCCTTGTAGTGGTCGTGCTGCAGGATCGCCGCCCCCAAACAGGCCACCATCGTGCACAGCAGGCTGGCCAGGAGCACGTGCAGCCAGTGGAGGTCGCGGTCGAACAAGGCCAGCAGCTCCAGCCGGTCCATGGCGATCTTGAACTCGTGCTCCTGGCCGCACCACTTGAACCGGTACTTGTAGAAGCTCTTCGGCGCCGCTGGCTTCTCCGCCGCGGAAAGGAGGCACGCCGGTCGCCAGTAGTCGCAGTAGGGTGCAAAGTGCCCGTCCACATTCAGCATGGGCTGGCTCATCTGGCTGATCTGACTGATTTGGCTTATCTGGTTGCTCGGATGATTGGCTAGCCCCAAGGCGCTTAGAACTCCTCCGCTAGATGCTCCTGCTCCTCCTCCTCCTGCCGAAACGGAGGCATTCTCGCTGGCATTCGCCGCCACTGCGGCCGCCGCATCGCTGAGCTGCTGCAGTGCATCCAGCTGGCTGCGCGCCACCTGCCGCTCGCTGCGGATCACATTGATCAGTCCCTGGACGGAGAAGGGAGCGCTAGATGGATGCCGCGACCCGGAGCCGCCGCGCATCAGCATGCCCACCTGCTGCTGCGTCATCTGCTGGGTGGCCAGCGTGCTGCCCCTCACGCCAGAGTTCGCCTCCGCCGCAGCGGCCAGCTGCTCGCACATCAACTTGGCATCCAGGCGCAGCTTATCCCGGGCCAAAGCCCGCTCAATGTTGGTCATGTGCTCCACACTCGAGCTGGAGGCGGGATGGGCGCCCTGGAGCGCCTGAATGGCGTCCTGGTAGAACTGGAAGTGTGCGTTGGACATGTTCGGCGGCACGAGGCTGCTGCTCGCCGGGATCGGGGTGCCATCCGCCGAGATGCCCGTGATGGGACGGCCGCGTTCGTCCACAGCTCCGCCGTGCATCAGCCAAAGCATCTTGTGGATATCCGCCGTCAGACTATCGGTCAGGCTGATGCTGTGCGTCGAGTTCGAGGAGGAGGAGTTGCGCGAGGCCAGCTTGGTCTGCTTGACCAAAGCGAACTCGTTGCCCGCCGCCGTCGCCGTCGCAGCCTCGGTGGCATCCGCAGGGGAGCCTCCGCGTCGTCTTCTCCTCAATTCATCCACCTCCCGGTACTTGACCACCTTTGGAATGGCGCCCAGACTCTTGGCGGCCGCTTTCGAGGTGCACGGCTGCTCCTCGTCCAGTTGGCATCTCTGTAACGCCTGCTGCTGCTGCTGCTCCGGCTCCATCCCGGCCAGCAGCTGATCCTTGGAGCTGGCGCTCACCTGCTCGCAGTCGCTCGAGGGGCAGCCGGAATCCGCCTCGCTGCGAATGGGCAATGGGGGAATGGCAATGGGCGCCGGGATTACTGCCCCAGTTTGGTGCGATGATAGCTCCTGGCGCAGCTGCTTGTCCGCCTGGATCTCGCGCAGCGTGGCCTGCTGGCGATTGCGATCGCTGAGCAGCGGGGAGCGAGAGCCCGTGTTGTTGTCCTCCGTCTCCTCGTCGTCGTCGTCATTGTTTTCGCCCTTTCCCGACGTCGCCTTGTGCTGCAGATGCTGCTGGTGGAGATCGTGGGTCTTGAGGACGTCGTCCAGCTGATTGTGCGTCTGCTGGAGCTCGCTGAGTATGTGCTCCAGGTTGTCGTCGAAGTCCTTGAACACATCCTCGTCGGCGGCCACGTCGTCCGCCAGGAAGCCGCCCACATCCGATTCCGCACTGTAGTGCGTTTGGCTGCAGCCCAGCGCCCGCGTTCTCCTGCGGATCGGCACGTCGTCCACCTCGTCGTCATCGTCGGCGTTTCCCTGGCCAATTCCCAGGCAAACGTCCTCGTGCGCCGTCTTCTCGTCCGAGTGCTCCACTATGGGATAGACGGGAGGCTCAATCAGCGCCGTTGTGGAGCCGCAGGCGCTGGAGCTGCCGAAGAAGAGGCTGCTGCAGGTGCTGCCGTTCCCAGGTGCTCCTCCTCCTGCTCCCGAGGTGTTGTTGTCACCAAAGCCCTGCGTGGGATACAGATTGAGATGCTGGTTGCGCACCAAACTCTTGCTCGGCGGCGGCAGGGGATTGCGCATCTGCTGTTGGCCTGAAATGGCCTCCACGCTGTTCGGATGCGGACTGAGATTGGAGACCGAGGGCTGCGGGCAGAGCACCTCCAAGGCGGCGCTCTTGATGCGCCTCACTCCGCCGGCTGCTCCGCTGTTTGCCGATGTTCCTGGTGTGATGGCTGCTCCTCCACTTCCTCCTCCCGCCAGTGAAGATTTATTGCCCTGGCCCGAGCTGTGCTTGTAGCTGGTGGCGTTGGAATGTCTGCGTCGCTTCATCCCGGCAGTTGAGCCTCCGCCGCTAGCCGCTCCTCCTCCACTGCCGCCCGCTCCCGATCCTCCTGCCGCTGCCGGTGGAGCGCCTCCGGCCAGCTGAAGCGCAGACATTGTGCTGGTGGGATCCTTGCGGATGATCGCGCCGCCCAGGTGATGATGCAGGTGGTGGTGGTGGTGATGGTGATGGTGATGCTGGGCGCGGAAGGTCGGCTGGTGCGGCTGCTCGATGCCCAGATCTGATTTGGTGTAGCTATCGTCCTCCAGGTAGACGTCGGGAAAGGGATCTATAAAAGTTAATAGTTAAAAACCACAAATGGATGTTATAGAGTAGCAGAAAACCCACCTAAAATCCAGGACTGCAGGGCCCTGCTGCAGGCGTCGGCCACTCCGCCGCTGCCCGCATTCCTGGCCAGCCCCAGCTCCATGTCCTCCACATCGTTGGCCGCCCCACTGCCGCCGCCGCCGCCGCCGATCATCAGCGCCCCGATGCTGCTGGCTGCACTGTGGTGCGGCAGCTGCAGGATCGGCTGGAAGAGACCGCCGCGGCTCTGGTGCTTCAGCCGCTCGTCGTGCGTCTCCGAGCTTCTGTGGCGCTGCAGGCGCGACGAGCGTCCAGGATTTCCATTCGAGGAGTTGGGGGCAATTACCACAACGGCAGTGGAGGAGGAAGAGGCACCTCCATCTGCCGCCGACGGAGTGCTGGCTATGAAGTGCTGGCGCGGATTGGCCTGGCCGCGCGCCTTGTTCGTCGGCTGGGAGTGCAGGAACGAGGGCGCCGCCGTGGCTATCGTGTCCGACTGGTTGCGCATCAGCTTGTGCTCCACGCTGGAGTTGGCCGCCGCAGTGTCCAGGCTGCTCTGGCGTTCCAGGCGACGCCGATGCCGGCGACTGAAGACCTCGGAGCACTTGCGCGACAAGTGACCCGTGCGAACGTGCTGAACGGGCGCCGCTGGACCCAAGGCCTCGCCATCCGCGCTGCCCGCACTGCTGCCGGCCGCCTCGACAACCTCCGGATAGACGGTGAGGTACTTGTTGAACAGATCCGCTTGGGCGGCGGCGCTGGTGGAGGAGTTGCCGCCCGGTCCCGAGCTTCTGATGGACTTGCTAACGCTGGCGGAGCCTGCTAGCGATTGCTGATCCTGCTGGCTGCCGCCGGAGAGCATGGAAGGGGCGTAGAACATCAGTTCGATGGACTCGGAGCTGTTCTTGCGATGCACATCGACCTTGAGGTCTGTGAAGGATTACGATTAGGCTGGAGGAAGCACAAAGAACAACAGATAACCCACCAATTATGCTGTTCACATTATCGATCGACATAATGCTGTTCTCCTCGCTGGCCTCATTGATGGCCTGCTCGACGGAGATGCGCGAGCCGCCCGGCCGGATGACCTTCATCTCGATGCCGCCCTCGTCGTCGTGGTGGCGCGGCTCCGTCTCCTTGGTGACCTTGAAGAACTGCCCCTTGAGGTTCACCTCGGACATGGTCTGGGCGCGATCGTAGAGCCGGTGCAGCGCCAGATTGGCCAGCTTGACCAGCAGGATGGTCAGGCTGGTGGTCACGCAGTACAGGCACCATGTCAGCCAGGTGCTCGGAAAGTACTGCAGAATGGTAAAGTGAGTAAGGGAAAGGGAAGGCGGAGGAGGAGCACCTACCAGGTAAGCCACAAAGGGCGAGCAGAGCAGGTAGAGCCAGAGGTAAAGGTGCACCACGTTGCAGAAGACGCCCTGGTGCGGATCGTAGAAGTAGCCGCCGGTCAGCGAGGCCCACACGCCCTGGCGCAGAATCTCCAAGGTCTGTGAACCCATGGTGGCCTATGCTGCATCGCTCAGCCGCCGGTTGGATGGGGATCCACGCTTCAGCCGCTGCTGCTGCTGCTGCTGCTCCAGCTTCCGGATTACTTCGTTTATCTGCTGATTAAGCTGCAGGCGGGTGGGGGCGTGGTCAGCGGGGCGGGGCCGGGGGAGGAGGTCGTTCGTTCGCTGCTTTTTTCAGCTGGAGGGGGAAAGCAGGAGGCACTGCAGCGGCCGCGCTGGAAACACTGCGATCCTGGCCTGATTCCGCCGTTGCTCGTTTCCCGGGCGTCGCGGCTGCGAACGGCTAAATCGAATATTGCTCGCAATTCATATTTTATTCACCGAGAAGTCAAATTTTTGAAGGGATTTAAAAAAAATATATAAATTGCTTTCGATGGACCACCTGATATCGATTAACTGCCCGAAGTGGACCACCTGATATCGTTATTGAAAACAGCGAAAATCAAAACAACAATCTAGTGATGGGAAAAGCGAGCGATAAAAGTGCGGGGATGCTATATAATTTATATATCCGTAATTTTTTAATTAATTATTTAATTTTTTTCTTTTGTTTAGTTTTTCTTGTTAGAGGTGGAGAAACATCGGTGTCATCGATGTTTCCGAATTATCGGATTATCCTGACAAAAATCATACCCATCGTTTTCATATCGATAGTTTTTAAATGTAGTTAAATAAAATATAAATTTTAGTTTTATTTTATTATGGTTTAAAATGTTATACATACTAATTCAATTGTACAAGAGAGAAATTATACTCAAATTTATTCTATGCTAGAAATTTTATGATGATGAAATTCGGATAATAAAAAGATATGGTGAATACACATGGTAAGAATTTTATATTTCTCAGCTTACTCATATCACATCATCTGAAAATTTATGATTCATGAAATATGATTCAACACACTTTATTTGTACCCCATGATTTTTTGCGAAAAATTAAAAATAAATAAAATGTCAAGATTTAAATGCCAATCGTTAGGAAATTTAATAACGAGTTCAGAAAGGTATGACAATCCATACTTTGAATCAGTATTTGCTTTGTTATAGCGAAAAAACTGCAACGTTATAGCGAAAAAACGGGTTTCGTTTTTTTTTGGAAATTCGCGATTTCAGTTTTTGACAAAATTTGGAATTTTTTCTTTTGGTTTTTTTGCTGTAACTTGGCCAAAAATGGTCCTACGCCAAAAATTCATACTGTTTTGAACAGATAACAAAATTTGCTATAAATTCATAAAACTTTCCGTGTAATTTTGGAAAAATAAAATTTTCGCCAATTTTTAATTTTTTTATAAGGGGGTACCCCATGATTTTTTGCGAAAAATTAGAAATGAATAAATTGTCAAGGTTTAAATGCCAATCGTTAGAAAATTTAATAACGAGTTCAGAAAGGTATGACAATCCATACTTTGAATCAGTATTTGCTTTGTTATAGCGAAAAAACTGCAACGTTATAGCGAAAAAACGGGTTTCGTTTTTTTTGGAAATTCGCGATTTCAGTTTTTGACAAAAATTGGAATTTTTTCTTTTGGTTTTTTTGCTGTAACTTGGCCAAAAATGGTCCTACACCAAAAATTCATACTGTTTTGAACAGATAACAAAATTTGCTATAAATTCATAAAACTTTCCGTGTAATTTTGGAAAAATAAAATTTTCGCCAATTTTTAATTTTTTTATAAGGGGGTACCCCATGATTTTTTGCGAAAAATTAAAAATGAATAAATTGTCAAGGTTTAAATGCCAATCGTTAGGAAATTTAATAACGAGTTCAGAAAGGTATGACAATCCATACTTTGAATCAGTATTTGCTTTGTTATAGCGAAAAAACTGCAACGTTTTAGCGAAAAAACGGGGTTGGTTTTTTTTTTGGAAATTCGCGATTTCAGTTTTTGACAAAAATTGGAATTTTTTCTTTTGGTTTTTTTGCTGTAACTTGGCCAAAAATGGTCCTACACCAAAAATTCATACTGTTTTGAACAGATAACAAAATTTGCTATAAATTCATAAAACTTTCCGTGTAATTTTGGAAAAATAAAATTTTCGCCAATTTTTAATTTTTTTATAAGGGGGTACCCCATGATTTTTTGCGAAAAATTAAAAATGAATAAATTGTCAAGGTTTAAATGCCAATCGATAGGAAATTTAATAACGAGTTCAGAAAGGTATGACAATCCATACTTTGAATCAGTATTTGCTTTGTTATAGCGAAAAAACTGCAACGTTATAGCGAAAAAACGGGTTTCGTTTTTTTTTGGAAATTCGCGATTTCAGTTTTTGACAAAAATTGGAATTTTTTCTTTTGGTTTTTTTGCTGTAACTTGGCCAAAAATGGTCCTACACCAAAAATTCATACTGTTTTGAACAGATAACAAAATTTGCTATAAATTCATAAAACTTTCCGTGTAATTTTGGAAAAATAAAATTTTCGCCAATTTTTAATTTTTTTATAAGGGGGTACCCCATGATTTTTTGCGAAAAATTAAAAATGAATAAATTGTCAAGGTTTAAATGCCAATCGTTAGGAAATTTAATAACGAGTTCAGAAAGGTATGACAATCCATACTTTGAATCAGTATTTGCTTTGTTATAGCGAAAAAACTGCAACGTTTTAGCGAAAAAACGGGGTTGGTTTTTTTTTTGGAAATTCGCGATTTCAGTTTTTGACAAAAATTGGAATTTTTTCTTTTGGTTTTTTTGCCGTAACTTGGCCAAAAATGGTCCTACACCAAAAATTCATACTGTTTTGAACAGATAACAAAATTTGCTATAAATTCATAAAACTTTCCGTGTAATTTTGGAAAAATAAAATTTTCGCCAATTTTTAATTTTTTTATAAGGGGGTACCCCATGATTTTTTGCGAAAAATTAAAAATGAATAAATTGTCAAGGTTTAAATGCCAATCGTTAGGAAATTTAATAACGAGTTTAGAAAGGTATGACAATCCATACTTTGAATCAGTATTTGCTTTGTTATAGCGAAAAAACTGCAACGTTATAGCGAAAAAACGGGTTTAGTTTTTTTTGGAAATTCGCGATTTCAGTTTTTGACAAAAATTGGAATTTTTTCTTTTGTTTTTTTTTGCTGTAACTTGGCCAAAAATGGTCCTACACCAAAAATTCATACTGTTTTGAACAGATAACAAAATTTGCTATAAATTCATAAAACTTTCCGTGTAATTTTGGAAAAATAAAATTTTCGCCAATTTTTAATTTTTTTATAAGGGGGTACCCCATGATTTTTTGCGAAAAATTAAAAATGAATAAATTGTCAAGGTTTAAATGCCAATCGTTAGGAAATTTAATAACGAGTTCAGAAAGGTATGACAATTCATACTTTGAATCAGTATTTGCTTTGTTATAGCGAAAAAACTGCAACGTTATAGCGAAAAAACGGGTTTCGTTTTTTTTGGAAATTCGCGATTTCAGTTTTTGACAAAAATTGGAATTTTTTCTTTTGGTTTTTTTGCCGTAACTTGGCCAAAAATGGTCCTACACCAAAAATTCATACTGTTTTGAACAGATAACAAAATTTGCTATAAATTCATAAAACTTTTCGTGTAATTTTGGAAAAATAAAATTTTCGCCAATTTTTAATTTTTTTATAAGGGGGTACCCCATGATTTTTTGCGAAAAATTAAAAATGAATAAATTGTCAAGGTTTAAATGCCAATCGTTAGGAAATTTAATAACGAGTTCAGAAAGGTATGACAATCCATACTTTGAATCAGTATTTGCTTTGTTATAGCGAAAAAACTGCAACGTTATAGCGAAAAAACGGGTTTCGTTTTTTTTTGGAAATTCGCGATTTCAGTTTTTGACAAAAATTGGAATTTTTTCTTTTGGTTTTTTTGCCGTAACTTGGCCAAAAATGGTCCTACACCAAAAATTCATACTGTTTTGAACAGATAACAAAATTTGCTATAAATTCATAAAACTTTCCGTGTAATTTTGGAAAAATAAAATTTTCGCCAATTTTTAATTTTTTTATAAGGGGGTACCCCATGATTTTTTGCGAAAAATTAAAAATGAATAAATTGTCAAGGTTTAAATGCCAATCGTTAGGAAATTTAATAACGAGTTCAGAAAGGTATGACAATCCATACTTTGAATCAGTATTTGCTTTGTTATAGCGAAAAAACTGCAACGTTTTAGCGAAAAAACGGGGTTGGTTTTTTTTTGGAAATTCGCGATTTCAGTTTTTGACAAAAATTGGAATTTTTTCTTTTGGTTTTTTTGCTGTAACTTGGCCAAAAATGGTCCTACACCAAAAATTCATACTGCTTTGAACAGATAACAAAATTTGCTATAAGTCCATAAAACTTTCCGTATGATTTTGGAAAAATAAAATTTTCGCCAATTTTTAATTTTTTTATAAGGGGGTACCCCATGATTTTTTGCGAAAAATTAAAAATGAATAAATTGTCAAGGTTTAAATGCCAATCGTTAGGAAATTTAATAACGAGTTTAGAAAGGTATGACAATCCATACTTTGAATCAGTATTTGCTTTGTTATAGCGAAAAAACTGCAACGTTATAGCGAAAAAACGGGTTTAGTTTTTTTTTGGAAATTCGCGATTTCAGTTTTTGACAAAAATTGGAATTTTTTCTTTTGTTTTTTTTTGCTGTAACTTGGCCAAAAATGGTCCTACACCAAAAATTCATACTGTTTTGAACAGATAACAAAATTTGCTATAAATTCATAAAACTTTCCGTGTAATTTTGGAAAAATAAAATTTTCGCCAATTTTTAATTTTTTTATAAGGGGGTACCCCATGATTTTTTGCGAAAAATTAAAAATGAATAAATTGTCAAGGTTTAAATGCCAATCGTTAGGAAATTTAATAACGAGTTCAGAAAGGTATGACAATTCATACTTTGAATCAGTATTTGCTTTGTTATAGCGAAAAAACTGCAACGTTATAGCGAAAAAACGGGTTTCGTTTTTTTTTGGAAATTCGCGATTTCAGTTTTTGACAAAAATTGGAATTTTTTCTTTTGGTTTTTTTGCCGTAACTTGGCCAAAAATGGTCCTACACCAAAAATTCATACTGTTTTGAACAGATAACAAAATTTGCTATAAATTCATAAAACTTTTCGTGTAATTTTGGAAAAATAAAATTTTCGCCAATTTTTAATTTTTTTATAAGGGGGTACCCCATGATTTTTTGCGAAAAATTAAAAATGAATAAATTGTCAAGGTTTAAATGCCAATCGTTAGGAAATTTAATAACGAGTTCAGAAAGGTATGACAATCCATACTTTGAATCAGTATTTGCTTTGTTATAGCGAAAAAACTGCAACGTTATAGCGAAAAAACGGGTTTCGTTTTTTTTTGGAAATTCGCGATTTCAGTTTTTGACAAAAATTGGAATTTTTTCTTTTGGTTTTTTTGCCGTAACTTGGCCAAAAATGGTCCTACACCAAAAATTCATACTGTTTTGAACAGATAACAAAATTTGCTATAAATTCATAAAACTTTCCGTGTAATTTTGG